TAACAGTGTTTATTTTTCAAAAGCATTTTACCAACAGGAAAAAGGGTTCAACTGGTCATTTACTTTTATAAACGTTTCTAAACACAAAGGTCTAACATTTTGTAGATTTACTTTATCTAGGCATGCTTAAACAATGTCGCAATGGGGAAAAATGCGTTGGTCTCTCGAATCCAATTTTTAAACCTTCAAATCTGCACATTTATGAGACAAAACAGAGATAAATCTGCGTGTGCAGGGTCTGAAGAAATATATGACTAGATACCGGATTCTGTTCCTTACAAGCAAAGCACAAACACATCTTTTAGAAACTAAACTGGCCTGAATAAAATTCACCTACATCTCTTCTCATAAATAATCCTCCATCTTTAAAAGTCTATACTGTAACTGAAAAACGCGATACTGTAACACGTTCCCTACGGTGCTATATGTCCTGTTTGATTTACAATATCCCATATACATTTGTTATCACCATTACATTTATGATAGTAATATTCATCATTAAAACTGATGTAAATTGATAGAATTTGGATAATTATTATGAATTAAAGAACTTTTCTTCTTAATTAATTGCATTTAAAAGTTAGAGTCAGAAACTGTTGAACATAAAAAAAAATTAAAAAATGTTGTGTTGATGTAATGTTGTGTTGATGTAAATCAAATGCCTAAATAAACTTTATTGAGCAACCAGTACTTCATTAAATATCATCATAGCGATTTCCAAATACACATTTGTTTATTTTCCGTGCCATGTACATGTATATTTTATATGCATGTACATATAAAGGTGTACATGTATATTTTGTGAAATGAAATTAGAAAAAAAATCCAATGATATAACTCGATTTGATGACCACTTCTCCCTAAATTTCAAAACTTCTCTCTATTTTTCCTGAAGAGAGAAGTCACTTCTCCCTAAATTTTCAGTCCAAGGTAGTCCCTGAAGATGACAGACCTTTGAGATTTGCCGGATAAAGTATCATAACATTGCAATGATTGGACTGTTTATAATTACTTCTTTGGTATCACAAGACAAAACGAACCTGCTGAATGATTTATGTATGACTTCTAATTCTACCCGTGCACAAAAAAGTTGTAAGGGGGTTGGGATATACTGGAATCAGCTTGTCCGTCAAGCCGTCTCCCTGTACAAACATGTAGATACTTGGGTGGCTATGGGAACAATAGGTAACAGTAAATTTTCTTTGATGCTATTCATTCAGTAAGCTCTTATGTGGCTACTTTTTCTCTTACGTGCCTAAAAGAACAATAGAGAGAACAAAACAGTAGCCACTTAAACACCAAACTTTGAGGACATCCGTCCAGCAGTTTTTCTTGTTCGCCAAATAACTCAAGATTCCCTTGAACCACAGTCTTCATATATGTTATATAGATTGGTCATGATTAGTAGATGGCCCCTATTGATTTTGAGGTAACCAGGTCAAGGTCACAGGGGCCTTGACTTAAAAAAAGCTTGTCTGCCCAATAACTCGAGTATCCTTTGACCCACAGTCTTAATATTTGGTATGGAGTATGGTCATGATTATTAGATGACCCTTTTGTTTTCGAGGTCACTGAGTCAAAGGTTGGTTATGTCTAGTAGCTTATCCTATTGATTTTGAGGTCACTAGGTCAAGGACAGAAGGACCTTAAAAACTACAAAAAGCTTGTCCGCCCAATAACTTAAGAATCCTTTGACCCACGGTCGTCATATTTGTCATGGAGGTTAGTCATGACTTTTAAATGACCCTATTGCTTTTGAGGTCACTGGGTCAAATGTCAAGGTTGCAGGGTCCTTTAGTTCAAAATGTTTGTCCGTCCAACAACTTAATAATCTTTTGACCCACAGTCTTCATGTTTGGTATTGAGGTTAAACTTGTAGATGACACCTATTGATTTTAGGTGTCTGTGTGAAAGGTCAAGGTCACAGGGGCTTTTACTACAATAAGCTTGTTTTCTCAAATGCTTAAGTATGTCTGTCAAATTTGTATTGATTTTGACATTTTCTCATTTGAAGCATTTAATTATGTTCTCATATATTTATTATAAAAAAACAGACAAAGCAGCATGAATGGGGGAGAGGGGTTCAAGTCATGCAGTGGCAGTTTCAGTTTTGAGGTCAGTAGGTCAAAGGTAAAGGTCACTTTTATCTTTGTCACTAAAAACATGTAGAATACATAACAAAAACTGTAAAGAAAATCGAGAAATTACTGTCGATCCCGAAAAACTCATGGATATCATAAAGCGGGAGAAAAGCGGCACCTAACTATAGATAGATATAGACCATTTTACAGTACGATTTTTCCATAGCAACGTATGTTGCATTTCGCGCATGCGCATTCTGCGTAGAGCAAAAGCTCAATAAAGATAGAATACATTTTAGTGTACTTAAAGGCTTTAAAAAGCGTGATTCACCCAGAAAAAAGAAATTTTGGGATGAATTGAAGCGGTAAGTACTTAAAACGTGAATTGATATTTAAAACAGATACACAAAATTAGCGGGACTTACAATTCAACGACCAAAACTTAAAGTCCACTGTTCAAGGTATCATTAGGTGACTTTTTCATCAGTAATTTAAATTAAAACAGCAGGGTGTTAAAGATCACATTTTTTTCCATGTATTACATAATATTACACAATTGATATTCCTTTGAAAGTGGATTGGCAAGGCGGTTAGTGTCAAAAAGATTGACACGTTACCGGTTGTTATTTGCCAGCTAGTTTATCATTCAACCGGGTCGTTTTAGTAACATGACATAGTTAATTTCTTAAAACTATGAACATGATTAATCGTAATTTAAGTAACTTTCATTTATACCAATCTCATCAATGTTTATTGATTTTGTGAAGTGACAAATAGTGTACGTGTCGTGCATTTCCATGTGTTACAAGGAACCGGATAAAATGTGTGTTATTCCACCACCCATCTTAACTTCTCAAGAGTTTAGAAAATTATTTAAATATATATGTGACTTAAAATATATAACACGCGTTCCGACTTTTTTCAGAATGATAATTAACCTCGATTTTAAATGTTATAAAATTTATATTAAATGTTATATATAATTATTTGTTAAAAAAATAGTTTTTATATGGACGATTTCAATAACAATTAAATTGACTTCTTTATTTGCTAATATATATAGTTCAACATTTTTTTACAACAATAATTTCAATGTCAGGTCAGTGATCGTAAGTCGATAGTATGTTACAGGCTATATGAAAATAATGCAGAATGCTACGTCATGTGGACACGTACAAATTTACCCGTTTATTTGCCATATGGAACATTTGCTATTCTGTTACAGAATAGGTACACCACATCCTCTCAAATTCATGTCCTAAAAATGGTAACATGTCAAGAAGAAAATGCGAATGTAAATATAGCCTATTGCCTCGACTTAAATTTTTATCCGTGTTACACCGATACTTGAACATGTCTATTTACGTCTAGCATACAGCCATATTTTAATTAAAAGCCCATTATACCCCAAGAAAGGTATTTTTGGTATATTTATTTCTCAAAATCTTTCTATATTTGATGTCCTGTTCAGGATTTTTTTTAAAAAGTTACTCATTGGTCGATTACCCGTACAATACCCTGCTTGAATTGATTCTTGCAATACGTACAGCTACAGTTGTTAAATATTCTGTATGGAATAAAAATACTACTCTGTTTACATTTTACTTCTTAAAATACAATTATTTTCATTTTCAGCACTTTCTCCGGGTGATAGCATCTAACTATTAATTAAACGTTACAAAACTGATGCTTTACTCATGTATGTCCTTATCAAGAAAGAAAGTTGCAGAGATATTCTTTGAAAGATAATGTTAATATAACATTAAAATTACAAGAGCACGGTTCAACCACCACATCGTTCCTGGTTAGACTGTCAAGCAGTTTACGTGTACTTGTTGAATTTTCTTTCGCAAGGAACTGATATTTTCTGTACATGCCAGAGCAGAGGTACAGTGCGAGTGACCGTAGAAAGGATTTCATACTCAATCACAACGAAAGTGACATGTATCCTCCGGGAATCAAACCCGGGTCGCCCGATTCACAGTCCAAAGCTGTACATAGCTGTTGAGCTAATCGGACGGCTGTTCGACTGGCGATTGCGTATGACTTTTATTGCTATCGGAATTCCTTTGTTTTATAGCCGATAAGATGCGACTGACTGTCCATGGCGTTTTGATACTCATAGAGTTTTTGGCGCCAAAAAAACTAAAAAGTGTTTTGAACATTTTTAAAATTGTTGATGTGTTTTAGAAGTGGCATATGCATGCATGCTAGCGTACTGTATGTAATTTAATATAAACAATAATAATTATATGATGTTTAATTTCCTGTATTCAAGTATGTCTACTTTATGAGATTCTATATATATTATACTTATATAATAACCTTATTAGATCAGTATTTTTATACTATATCCTATCGTGAGATGTTAATTACTTCCTTCTTTTCAAGATGACACTCAGCCTCTTCAAAGTCCCAGCCACTGTTTCCCGGGGTGTGGCCTTGATTGTACACTTAACTAGTGCATACTTTAAAAGCCTCAATAAAAAATATGCGGAAAATCTCGTTAAGCTCTATCAAATTTATCAATTTTCACACGCCCACGTAGCCAACTCTTAAAAATTAATTACAAATGAACAATTTCGAATCAAATAATTAAATTCATTTTATTAATATGTGGAGAAAAGAAACTTTTATAAAGTATACGTCTTTATAGAATTAAATTTATTTTATTCTCGTTAACTTAATTATATACATGTGAAGGAGTTTATGCATGTAAATCTACTAAAGTATAAATTTAAATTCTAATTAACATTATTTGAAAATGCAGTGCACTGTTTTAATCAATACATACTTTCACGTTCAAATTGTTTTGACTGATTAAATAATTCACTGTACATGTACAGGATTTCGTAATTTAACAACTTTACGACTAGCTATGTCAAAACTCATTCAGAAAATATTTTACCTGTCTGGGAAAGTAAAGGTTAAAGGTCAATATATCTGTCTAACTATAACGGAAGTGACGTCACACAACCATTTATGGAGTCGATCAACGGCCAAAATTAATTTATTAGATTTATCATTTATTTCTAAATTTTGCTGGACGACATTGACAGTGGGATATCGCGTAAGTTCAAAATAAAGTATCTGTCCTATCTACTATTTCTTTTATTCTTGCTCAGTGTGTGTTTCTACAAAAATCTCGTTGTCCAAAAATTCGAGACCGTGTGAAAAAAGTGGGTGGAGTACGAGCACCTAACTGTCAAATGAGGAAATGCAATATGGAACTGTTTTGACAGTTCTACAAAGAAGGCATTTTACATATTACATGATTAAATTGAATTATATTAACTGCGGAGAATAACTTATTTCTTCATAAACTTTCTTTAGGTCATAGAATAAATTCTAAAAAAAAGCTATCGATACAGTTCCAACTTTGATTTTGAATCTTTTAATTCATTTGTTTTGATAGAATACCACTAGTACTGTCTGTCATTGACATTATTTAAAATGTATCAGTAGAAGTGGTAGCAAACTTTCAGTGGTGGCTGATATTCTCCCACAGCCTTTAGGTGCTTTACTAACAAGTTGCCAATATGATTACTTAACATTAGAAGCGTCTTTACCCTATGTTTATGAAATTGACGTCATGTCAAAATTTAGCACTACTGTGCAATAGCATTTTTAGCTCGACTATTCGATAAGAATAAGTAGAGCTATTGTAGTCACCCGAGCGTCGGCGTCGGCGTAACCACTTATGTTAAAGTTTTTGTAATAGTTTAAATATTTTCAAAGTCCATTGACATATGGCTTTGAAACTTTGCACACTTGTTCACCATCATTACCCCAACCTATAAATAGGAGGAGGTAACTGTATCAAGCATTTTGACAGAATTATGCCCCTTTTTCGACTTAGAATTTACGTTAAAGTTTTTGTAATAGTTCAAATATTTTCAAAGTCCATTGACATATGGCTTTGAAACTTTGCACACTTGTTCACCATCATTACCCCAACCTGTAAACAGGAGGAGGTAACTGTATCAAGCATTTTGACAGAATTATGCCCCTTTTTTGACTTAGAATTTACGTTAAAGTTTTTGTAATACCTCAAATATTTTCAAAGTCCATTGACATATGGCTTTTAAACTTTGCACACTTGTTCACCATCATTACCCCAACCTGTAAACAGGAGGAGGTAACTGTATCAAGCATTTTTTTTTACAATCAAGCACTAAGAATAGTCAGAGTTCCAGATAACGTGCGTATCGGCGTATTTTACGCTTCAAAAGCAGCTAAATACGCACCATATTTCAAATTTGTTGCGTTCATTTACGCACGTTATAAATTAAATACGCAAAGAATGAAAAATCGAAGCGTATTTGGTGTGTACTTTCATTTTCGAAACAGCTGATTACAGTTGGCTGTGTATCTTTTTCCGTTCAATACCCGCCAAAATACTTTACCTACTTTTCATTCTGTAAACCAGTCAAATTATGTCTTTATCGCGTAGACGCTTGGTAAAACGTGTGGCTTGATTTCCTTTATAATTGCAAGCGTTTGTTAATAATGACGTAAATCATGGCTGCTTCCAAACCAAAGCAGAGGAAAATTGACAATTTTTTAACGCAACTCAGTTACCCACTAAAACAATTGTGAATCCTATTGTTGAAGACATTTAAGATCGTGTATGAAAAGGGCGCACATAATTGTGAATCGCAACACAACACTTGAAAATTGGCAAAAATGTTATCCGTGGTGGTACTGAAGTACGAATGAAATATCTGACTTGTCATAAATTTAAAGCTGACAATGTATGGGCTAATGAAAGTGCAATAAACATGCAGAAATCGGCTATTGATTGGTGATTATTTGTAACGTTACTGTTTATGTATTGTCACCAATTTTTGTTGTAAACAATATAAAATAAAATAAGAATATGGTAAAGGCCTTTCAATTGAAGTGAATTCACGCTGAATATCTGCTAAATTAATACAAAATAAATATCTTTAATGTATTTTCATTAAAAAAATTTCTATTTTCAAAGGATCATATTATTTTTGTACAAAAAAGTAAGTCATTTAATTGTACCCTTTAGATTTATGATATATCTAAATTTACCCCCACATTCTGAAAAGTGGGGGTAATTACCCCCAGTGTAAAAAAATTATCTGGAACTCTGAATAGTCGAGCGTTGCTGTCCTACCGACAGCTCTTGTTATGGTGTTGCAAATGCGGCATGGGTATGTTATAAGATTTTTAATATATATACAATTAAGAAATAATGAACAGGCTAAACCAGGAGAATTAGGGGACAAATTTTCTGCTTTGTAATCTCGCTATTTTGAAAGATAAATAAATCGGTCAGCTAAAAAAATAGTCTGTCTATATATCTTCCATTAACTTCAAGCCCCATACAGTCACAGTGCCATCAAGTTTTTTAGTCTATCAAAAAAAACCCAAAAAACTGTAAGCTGCGATTTTTTCAAAAGCCTTGAAAAATCTTAGTTTTTACAGGGCATTTATTATATAAGACTATTAGAATTGATAAAATTCATTACAGGTAATAATTGGGATATTCTAATAAGTAAACATTATCATTTTGATAAAACGGTTAGAAATATGGTAAGCATTTACAAATGTAAATTGAAATGAATATAATGTTAAATGTGTGAATGTTGGACCTTAGTGGCTGATTTTGCAATGTTTTGACTGGGGACATTTAATTCAAATTAACTCATGGAGACACATTTATATAGATAATTACCGGAAACTGTTTCGTAATTGAGACCTTTAATTAATGGAATTGAGAATTAGGTTCAAAATAAATGTTTATGAAGGTTTTTTTTATTTTCAGATGCTAATTATAAATTGATTATAGATGATTTAATATTGTACATTATTTTAATTTATCTTTTATCTGAACAGAATGGCCCAACACAGTTTAAGTCAAGATTTTCAACGTATAGCTATTCATGAACCAAGACAGCATGGTGGTCAGGCACCCACATATAGAACAGGTACTACATAAAATACCCTTCTTTAGCATGTTTCTATATATCGGTAGTCAAACTAAAATGCATTTTCCTTTAAAAAACTTGACAACTTTCAAATCCATTATACATGCCAAGTATAGAATTCTTTCTAGAGAAAAGACATCTTAACAGGAATTAAATTTTAGGGCTAATGAAAATTTAATTTTGACTATACGTTTTATCACTTGTCTGTATTTTTGAAAATTTCCACTTGTCCAAACAGGATGTGGAACAACCTGGGCAAGACTGAAAATTGATTTTGCCACCCTGACAGTGAGTTTTCTCACTAAGTTGGGAAGAGGTCTTAGCCTCTTGATTTTTGGGAAAAATTATCACTAAAATTTCAGATTTGGGAAGTAAAAAGCAGGTTTATGTTCAGGTTTTTTGGAAAACTTCAATTGGGAAGAGGCCCTTTATCGGAGTCTGTTATATAAGCAGGAAAATAACTGCCTGAGGATCACCTCCTTTCATTGTTATCCTTTAATATTAAGCTACAGATTTTTTCTTGTATTATTTCTTGTGCTATTCATAATTCTGGTATCTTAAAGTTAGTTGTAATTTTCAGCAGTTTTTTTCCCTTATATACATTGTATATAGAAAATTGAATGACTATGATGCCTATACAATAAAATGGTTGTCAAACAAAATTGATTTCTTTTTGTATTTTCTGATCGTAAGATCAGTAAATACATAGCTAACATCCACGGTCTAACACAAAATTTCCTCACAGTCCTAACAACGCAAAGTAGTTCTCACTCAAAACTGCTTAAAAACCAGCAATTTAAAAGAAAGAATATTTTTTTAATGTAGGCATTTAACGAATTACAGTGCATTAAAAGTTTAGATTAGTCAACAGAAATATGAGGTTACAATCACAAATTTCGCGGATGAATATCTTTTTTACCCAATGAAAAATGTTCGGCTATTTCCGTAAAGCTTCGGATTATCATGATCAATGAAAATGCTATTTTTAGCTATGTCGATTACCGAATACATGTACTCCAGAGCGTAGTACACAAATAAATCTGACTGTCGAGTAGTGGAATATATACATGTCGGACTGTTTTGGCGAGAAGATTTTCGCTAAATTATTTTCATCAGTGCTAAACAACAGGTTTATCGTGAACAAAATACCTCGAAATTAATAAGGATTACAAACACGAAATGGAAATTCTCAATTTAGAATTACATAATGTATTCGTTTTTATTCAAGGTACATATGTATAACTTCGCCGTGGTGCAGAGGTAAGCGGTCTCGTTGAGGGTGTGAGAGGCCTATGGTTCAAATCCTAGTCGAGGCAATTCTATTTTTTTTCATGCAAAATTCCATATGTATCAATCTCAAACCGTTATAGAAGAAAATCAAAACGCTGTCGCTGCGTAAGATGAATTATAGTATATAAAAATAAACTTGTACAGGAAAATACATACAGATAGTCAGTATGATTTAGATTGCAAAAATCAGAAAATACCATAGAGCTGCAGCCCTTTGATTCAATGTAGATGCCGCTTTTGCATGATAACTTTCAAGACAATTGTTTGAATGCATATTATGTTGACAACTTTCAGTTTCATGATAATTGTTTGAATGCATATTATGTTGATAACTTTCAGTTTCATGATAATTGTTTGAATGAATATTATGTTGATAACTTTCAGTTTCATGATAATTGTTTGAATGAATATTATGTTGATAACTTTCAGTTTCATGATAATTGTTTGAATGAATATTATGTTGATAACTTTCAGTTTCATGATAATTGTTTGAATGAATATTATGTTGATAACTTTCAGTTTCATGATAATTGTTTGAATGAATATTATGTTTGTCTCAAGCATGTTGATGTACACATTTAAGCTTATGTTTACATTTCCTTAACAAATTTATTCTCTTACAGGCCCCGCGCCATTCAGGGCATATCATGATGGCAAAGATGATTTCCCTCCCCCGCCTCCCCCTTCCTCACAACCTTTCATGGAGCACAATTTCCCCCCTCCCCCACCAGAATCCAAGGAGAATATCTACCATGAGATACGGGATGAAGATTTTCCTCCTCCTCCACCTACTGGAGCTGAGCCAATGTATACAAGGCCTGGTAAGAAGTTTGTCTAATAATCATTTATATTGAAATAAGGAATATACATGTATACAGTATTTTATATTGTATGTACTTAAAGCTAGTGTGATGCATGATAATTATATTCCAATCAAATCTGCTAACCATTTCCAAGGAAACTAGTGTAATGCATGATATATTCCAATTATATTTCAAATCTGCTAACCACAAGAATCAACCATGGTAAATGTAAATTAATGATTAACATGTTGAATATATTATAATCATGGGCTTAAAATTAATAAGCATGTTTTACCAATTTATGCCCCAATTTTGGGGATGAGAGCAGGGGAGCATATATATTTGCCCTTTTCCTTGTGGCCATTGCCAGTCCCAACAGTCATGCTGTCATGCTTTCAATCCAAAGACAGAAAAAACAAAGTAATGTTTGGGAATCTGTGTCTTTTGAATAAGGTCCAGCCTGTACATCCATGCAGTCTTTGACTAGGCTCTATACTGCTGACAGATCAATTTTAGTATTTTGTAAATAATCGTTAACAATGCAAAATGGACTGTTACAAATTCAAAGGAGGGCAGGTCAGTTATAAAAAAAATCAGCAGTTTAACTAAACTTTGACTAGAAGAATAATGTTAGCTTGTGACATGTTGATAGGTTACACACAGTACGGGAGCCCAATGACGTCATATGAGAGCAGGCACGAGTCACAGACACTGGTTCAACCATCCGGGAGATATGAACGTGAAGTGAAACAAGCAACATACAGTATTCAAAGCTCTGATAGTAAGTAAAGTTTATAATATGCTTTGCCTTGTATTAGTAAGTAAAGTTTATAATATGCTTTGCCTTGTACTAGTAAAATTGTTTATCCTTTTAAGATGTGACATTTGTTGATAAACCAGTTTCAGATGGAAGACATTGTTGTTATGCAGGTTGTAAGTTAGTTCATGTCTCCATTGAGTTATGCAATGTTCTTTATTTTTTCGGAAGGACCATTACTTTTAATGTTTTATATCTTGAAACATGTGTACATTACAGGCAGTGGAAGGTCATCTCCACGTTCATCACCCTATACAAGCCAGTATGCCAACTTCTCAAACCTACAAAACACATATAACACAAGTTCTGCCCCGCAGACATATAGTACGTCAAACTATGGCAGCTCGCAGGGGTATAACTCATCACCATCATACGGCCAGTATTCATCGAGCAACATTAGAAGCAACAGTCCTTCTAGGTACTCGCCCAACTCTCCAAGACAGGCAGAAGAATCTGGTGTTACATACGCCCAGATCGCCCCTAGATCTGAATCTGGTGTCACATACGCCCAGATCGCACCGAGATCCGATCGTCCGGTACCTGGACCACAAACACCCATTCAGATCAAGGTTGCTGATTCAAAACAGCAGTCATACCCTTCACCAAGTCAGTCGCAGTATTCAAGGTCATTGCAAGGGCAGCAACCAGTATCGTCCGGATATTCACCGTCATCATTGTCTCCTAGAGGGGCCGACTCAAGGGGAGGTAACTCTAAAGAACAGGAAGTAGATGCACTTACTCAGATGTTAATGCAAGGTCTAGAAGGGACAAAAGATCCAGATTTCTTTGGTATTTCAAGTTATATATTGTCTCACAGAAAATCATAATTTCACAGAAAATCATAAATTTTCTAAAAATTGGAACATCTGTCTATTTGAAGTATACATTTTGGTATTTAAATAAAGTAAAGTATTTTGGAGACCTCAATGACCAAAAGGTTGAGGTTGATGACTTTGAACCAAAGGCCTACACTGCTGTGGGTTTGAATACTTTTTAATAAAAATGAAACGTTACAAAGCTCTACACTGAAATTCTATGAAATTCTATGATAAATATGCTATATGACCTCTTCAAAGTTTGATATATTAAAATTGAAATTCCACAAACTTATTGTAGTAGACAGTTTCAAACTTGCATAAAACATGGATTTAGCATGTTGATATTTAATAATTCAGGGATATGTGCCAAATGTGGAAAGAAAGTTGTTGGAGAGTCTAACGGGTGTACAGCAATGGACCAGGTCTTCCACATAGCATGTTTTGTCTGTGTAAGCTGTGGTAAGTTCACTATAGTTGTTATATCAAATCATATTTCCCACCAGTTTCGAGCCAGGCAAGCCTGCATATCTGTGAGGTCATAGTCACAAAGGTTTATTTTGAGAACTACTTTGTTAAAAAACTTAAAACTTGGTTCATTTACTATATATAAAGATATTCTATGCTCATATTTTATATTAGAAAATATTGATAATTTCTACACCGTCCCTATATCTTTGTAAATGTAAAATGAACATGTTTTGACTTTTCACAAAGTAGATATGTTATGTTGAAAATTCTACAAACTATAGGTGGTCACAATATGAATACAAAGTGTTATGAAAAGAAATGGCTTGTTTTTTAACGAAATAACTTTACTTGATCTGTAGTAGGGAAGGCAGCTTCCAATACATAGTTTTCTAATTCTTTTATCCAAATTAGACATATTCAGTAAGAATTTTATAGATTTCATTAAATTTTTTCATTAAATATTTTACTCAAGTTGGAGCACAGTATATCATTAAACAACTTAAATCCTAAGTTGTTATCGGCATTGAAACTTATTCATGGCACAATTGATTTAAATTCCATCATGTAATTTTTAAATTTAGGACAATTTTCAATTGGTCATGGAACTAAAACCTTTAATGCCAAATATTTCTTGTTTCAGGTACATTACTAAGAGGGAAATCTTTTTATGCAATGGAGAGAAAACCACATTGTGAACCATGTTATATGGTAAGTTGTTACATGCACATCTTTCTAATTTCAGATGTTTTTGTCAGTAGTTTTTAGCATGATCTATTTCATTAAGATGATGGAAGTTTGTTAAGATTTGCTGAAAATCAGGGAAATATAAGATCACCAAAAAAACACCCCGATATTGTCAATGAAATTGACTAGAAAGCAACTCCTGTAATTCATGAGATAGCTTTTAGATACCATGGCTTTTTTTTCACAGGTAGATGGATGATGTCCTCTCCTTAAATTAAGGGAATATTATAACACTTTTGCAAAAGTTGAAGAAAAAAACCTGACTTAAATTGGAGTTAAAGGGAACATTATTTTCCTTACAGTCTTGAAAATCTTGATGATAGTGATAAATATTTTATTTTTTTCTTGTTTTCAGAATACACTGGAGAGATGTTCTATTTGTTCAAAACCTATTACAGACAGGGTGAGCTTATATACTTAATTAAGATTTAATATCTATATAAGATTCTTATATATGAGGATATCAAGCTGTTTTTTGATTGAAGAGTGATGGTTCTCCACAGGCTTCTTAAACAGTTAAGCTAGAAAGTTGACATATTGACACCCTTGTGCACCTTTGGGTTTGCTCCTGTTATTTTTTAGCTCACCTATGGGGGCGTCTGAGGCCAAGTGTTTAAGGTCGTTGGCTTCAAATTGCCTCTCGTCTCTGTTGTTCCCACCGGAGCCAGCATCTTCAAATTCTTTCACGTGAGAACGCTATCCGATAGCTTACAGAACATTGGTGGTTCTACTCAGGTGCCTAATTGTGATTGAAATAATGTACAAAGGGGAACCTGAGGTCTCTTTCCTTCCTGCACCAGTAAAGCTTGAAAGTCGCCATATGATTTAAACTGTCTTGATGCGATGTCAATTTGAAATAAAAGTCATCTGGGTTAAAAACTAGGTCACTCAGTCAAAATATGGAAAAACCTTGTTAACACTCTTTAGAGGTAACTTTTTCAGCCCAAATATGAAAATTTGTCAGAAAAGTTTTTTTTATGATTTCCATCTCATTTACCTGGTCAGTAACAACTTAGTTAAAAGCGAACAATGTAGGGTCATGATGACCCTCTTGTTTCTATTTCATAGGATTTAACCCATTACTGCACTAAGGTTACAAATCATTAAGAGCTTATTGGTGTTGACGTCATATAAAACTCAATCCTACAAGAATTTCAATGACTTCAGGAAGGCACTGAAAACCAACAAGCATTCATTTCTACATTATTACTTGAAATACTTATTATAAAAGAACAGGATTTTGATTTAATTATCTCTGTATTTATGGTGTATATATTGTTACAGTTATTAAGGGCAACAGGAAAGCCGTATCATCCAGCATGTTTTACATGTGTAGTGTGTGGTAAATCACTGGATGGTGTACCATTTACAGTAGATGCTACCAACCAAATACACTGTATTGAAGACTTCCACAGGTAAGTCAAGTTATTAAGTAAATCTGGTACTTTTTGAGTGAAAATGTTAATTATAGCTTTGACTGAGACCTATTCACATTTTGCCGGGTATTGGCCACAGATTTTACCCTTGTGACCAGTGGAGATGAAACTCAGCTAGCACACTGTTCGCTACTCAATCACTATATTTTTTGAAAAATTTTCTTAAATTGGTTAATGAATTTAGCTTGCAATAACAACAAAAGTCCATGAACAGGCAAAGTCAAACAGAGCCTGCAACATTTTCAATTTTGCTGTGTTTGACTTTCTTTAGGAATTCTGTTTTTAGCCCACCTAATAGAAAGTGGCATGAGGAGCTTTTGTGATCGCTTTTCGACCGGCGTCCGTCCGTCCAGCGTCGTCCGTCGGTAAACTTTAAACCGCTTAGCCAATTTCATCCAAACTTCACAGGAATGTTCCTTTGGTAGTAAACTTTGTTCAAAGAATTTAATTCCAAGCAGAACTCTGGTTGCTATGGCAACCAAAAGAAAAACCTCAAAATATCTTCATTTAAAAAACTGAAAGAACTAGGGCTTAAATATCCTGTGGGGGTCATTGATTTTCCTTATTTGTATATAGTAAAAACTTACAAGATCTTCTTTAAAAAACCCAAATAGCTAGAGCTTAGATATTAAGCATGAAACATCCTCTAGTAGGTGTCTACCAAGTTTGTTCAAATAAAAGCCCTGGGGTCAAAATTGGCCCCACCTCAGGGGGTCATTGATTTTCCTTATTTGTATATAAAAACTTTAAAAAAATTTATTTAAAAAACCAAAATAGCTAGAGCTTAGATATTAAGAATGAAACATCTTCTAGTGAGTGTCTACCAAGTTTGTTCAAATAAAAGCCCCTGGGTAAAAATTGGCCCCACACCAGGGGGTCATTGTTTTTCCCTTTATGTACAGTAGAACTTCGGTAAGTCAAAGTTTGAGGGACTTGTGTAAAAACTTTGACACATTGGGACTTGGACTAATGAATCGGTCTGAATTTCATGACAATATTTCAACCCGTGACTAGCCCTAATTATAAGATCTATAATGTAACCTATTTCATGTTTTTCTTCATTCATTAATCTAATATTTTACATTATACAATGATAAATATGACAGGTTAAGTTACTTTTCACGGCTAAATTGATTTGGACTACCTGTTGACGTATAGAATGAAGTTACAAACGGCGTAACAATACGAAAGGGCAATAACTAAACCAGCTTATAGTAAATAGTTCGCGTGTGATTATCACGCGACACCGGGTCAAGGAAGTACTCAAATGATAGTTCTTACTGTTTACATGTACTTTCAAATACCGCTACGGCAATTAAAATAGTAACGATTAAAGCATTTTTTCACACATTTGAACCCATACAAAGGCTGTTTGTTCAAAACTCGGCTGTGTAATTAACACCTGTCACTAAAGTTGATCGGAAATCGTCTTCGCGGCCAGAAAAGGTGTGAAAAATGTCTCGAGATCGAAGTTGTCAAAATAATGGAAGGACTTCGACTTATTTATGGTAAATTATACTAGATTTATTCTATACGGACCACGAAAAAACTTCGACACATTGAAAAATTCAACACATAAAATTTCGACTCATAAATAGGTTTTTATAAGGAATATATAAGGGAAAAATCGGGACTTTCATTTTACTTCGACACATCGAGAAAATCGACTAATCGAAGTTCGACTCATAGAAGTTCTACTGTATATATATAGTAAAAACTTAAAAAATCTTATAAAAACGTCAAAGAGGTAGAGCTTAGATATTTATCATGAAACATCTTCTAATGGGTGTCAACAAAGTTTGTTCAAATAAAGGCCCTTGGTTTACAATTGGCCTTGGCCAAGGGGCCTATATACAGGTGAGCGATTTCAAGGCCATCATGGCCCTCTTGTTTGCTATTTAGATCCAAATTGAAAGATGAATAAGTCCATTTAAGAGATTTGGCATTGTAAAAACTAAGAGTTGAGTCCCCATACTGATATTAGTCAAAACTTGTTTCCTGACTAGTGGTCAGGTCATGTCTAGATTTTTTGCTCTTTTAAAGAATAGATCAGGGTCTGCGCTTGTTGTATAATGAGTAACAGGCTAAGGGTTTAGAGCTCTGAAAACTGCAGACTCAATTTGACTGAGTCTGTACATGAGGGATAATGAAAAAGTGCAGTGCCATGATTTCAATGTGTTGAGTTATTGTTATATTTGTGATTAAAGGGACTCCACTGAGGTTTAAAAGTATAAAAACATAACATTTGAATTTCTTACATAAATGAGCTGGGGCACTTAAAACAGTAATATATGCAAAGATAGCTAAGAAATATACTTTGAAATAAATTAAAAATCGTATTTTGATGCTTTTCTTAGCCTAATTTGAGTGAAAAGCGTTTAAACGCTTTTCAGTTTGGGTCAGTTTTTTACAATTTGAAAAATTAATCTGGAAAAACGGTGTGCGCGAATGATCTGAAATTTTGCACAAAGATTAGTGGTCTAAACCTACATCAAATGGTACAATTATCTGGAAAAAATATTTTCAGTCCCATCATGTCAAAAAACCTCAGTGGAGTCCCTTTAACATTTTGTGATTGTATATATATTACAGGAAGTTTCCCCTGCGGTGCTGTGTCTGTTTAAATGATTGTTTATATATTACAGGAAGTTTGCGCCGCGGTGCTGTGTCTGTTTAAAGCCTATCATGCCAGAGAAAGGTCAGGAAGAAACTGTTAGAGTGGTTGCCATGGATAGAAGTTTCCATGTCAACTGTTACAGATGTGAGGTATGTGATGTCTGTTGTAATACTAGTAGTCAATATTGATGAATCTCGACATATTTCACTTCTTTCTGTTTATTTGTTAATCAACCTCATTAAAATTAATTTAGCCATACAAGTTCAGATTAGTAAAATTTTTACAAAAAATCATCTTGGTAATAATACTAGGTAATATATAATTTGAACGTTTTACAAACGATAAAAAATCAAATTAAAATTGAAATCATGCCTTCATATTCATACTCATTTTAAAAATGTATTTAAAACAAACTATTGTGCAGTAAAAAAAGAAAGTATATACGCATAATATGAAAAAGACAGTTTTGTCAATTTATGTCTTTTGTGACTGTTTAATTTTTCCTGGTTCTCCTCTTTGCTGAATAGCAAGATAATCAGGTTTGTAATCTAGGGAAAATTATCATGATCCTCAGGAAAGGCAAAGTTTCTCTGTTACATTTGATCACAGGCATTGAGTCTAATGGTCATTTATCCCTCACCACTGATTTAGGAAATGTTTTGGATAATAAGTGTGTGGTAGTTACTCATTAGCTGTATTAGAATTGTCAACATGTGACCAAAAATGTGGACAATTCTGCGTACAAAAAAAAGTGCTTTATTCTGCCTACTGAAAAAAATGTGCTTAATTCTGCATAAAAAGCAGAAAAACAAGTTTTTATTCTTTTTTAGAACCCCTTTTAGCATTATGCTGTAAATACTAGAGGCTAAAATGTCTATTTGACTGATCATTATTGAATAAAACAATTTTATTAGACCTTATATTATATCTAGTAATATATATTTTGTCCTCGTTTCAGGACTGTGGAGATTTGTTGTCATCAGAGGCTGAGGGGCGTGGCTGCTACCCCCTTGATGATCATATTTTATGCAAAGCGTGCAATGCAAAGAGAATTAATGCCCTTACTACAAAACTGTCTACAGAACTTTAAATATATCTAGACTTGAACAAATTTATTGATAGATCTGCAATATTTATATCACATTAAATGCTTATTTTGTTATTTGTATAATTTTATGTATTTTAGTTGTTCAGCAAAGTATGAAGTTAATTTTAAATACAAAAAAAGTCTGTTTACTGAATTAAAGTGAATTAATTTAATGTGCGTTCTGTATTTTACAAAATCATTGTTTGAACTTTTGAAAAGAAATACTTCTGAAATACTTTTATGAAAAAAATAAGAGCATACTGCGACTGTTTACTAAATCGTTGCTTCACAGTTAAAACCCCTTCTTAAAATAACAGCATATCTTGTTGTGGAACATTTTATTCTGTGTGTGAAATAACAGAGACATTCAACATTACAGCTCTTTCAAGAATTGACTATAAGATTACAAGATGATGGAAGCTACATTTATTTAAACTTATAGATTTTATAAAAATGTTTCATTAGATATAATGTTACATCCTAAAAGGCATATATAAAATATATACTTCTATAAGTCAGATCAATTAAAAGCCCTACTAATGTCAGAACCTTGTTTCCTAATAGGATACTAGTACTGTTTAATTACAGGACATTGATTTGAGAGTAATTCATATCAAGTTAGAAGCTTTTATCACATCAGGGCTTGAATTAACAGTGTTCAAACTGAAGACTTAGATTTTTTAAAACAAATTTTTTCAAACTTTGCCAAAAAGTTGATTTTATACTTTGCTGAAACATTTATGTGTATGTAAGATATAGTATGCGAGACACCGGTGTTTTAATAAACTGTATTACATTAAAACAATATGAACCTTATAAAGGTGTATTTTAGTATAAAAATCAAGTATTGGTTGTTAATTATAATATGTTAAGTGCATATCAGAAAATATTAATATATATATTTGAAAATTTTTATATCAGTGTACAGTATAATGATATTTAAGTATTATATTCTATATTGTTATAGAAAAGGTGTTTTTTTTAAGGTTGAGGAAGTTACTGAATCATTTTGGTTATCTATGCTAAAAGTAATGCACCATTTGTGGAATATGGACCTTCTCTTAAAGTTTAAGATGGTAATATTTGTATCATAAGTTATTTTATGTCAGCAGAAGTTGTATTGAAACAAAAAAACTTTCTTTTCCATTTCTTTAATGCAAGTTGATATGATATTAGACCTTTGAAACTAGATTGTAAATGCTGTGATAAGTTTCAGTGTGGTTTGGAATAGAATGCCGTGGTGGTTTTTAAATGTACAGATATTTCTGTTATTATACCCATGTGACCAGTGCAGACCAAGATCAGCTGGTACATCTGTGCTGTCTGATCATAGTCTACACTGTTCACTACTCAGTCAGTTTATATTTTTATAAAAACTTTTTCAACATGACAAATGGTTTTCTGCAGATTCGAAGGTTGACAAGTCCATTTAATTGTAACTTAAAGGCACATTATGCCTCAGAAGCAAATAAATATTTCCTTCTGTTAAAAGGGTAAATATGAGTTTTTAGCTCGACTATTCGCAGAATAATCGAGCTAATGCAGTCACCCATTTGTCGGCGTCGGCGTCGGCGTCCCTGTGGTTAAGTTTTTGTATGTAAGCTGGTATCTCCATAACTACTGAAGGGAATGGATTGAAACTTCACACACTTGTTCTCTGTGATTATCTAAGATGATTGGCACAAGTCCCATAACTCTGATTTGCTTTTTTTTATAATTATGCCCCTTTTTCGACTAAGAAATTCTTGGTTAAGTTTTTGTATGTAAGCTGGTATCTCCATAACTACTGAAGGGAATGGATTGAAACTTCACACACTTGTTCTCTGTGATTATCTAAGATGATTGGCACAAGTCCCATAACTCTGATTTGCTTTTTTTTATAATTATGCCCCTTTTTCGACTTAGAAATTCTTGGTTAAGTTTTTGTATGTAAGCTGTTATCTCCATAACTACTGAAGGGAATTGATTGAAACTTCACACACTTGTTCTCTGTGATTATCTAAGATGATTGGCACAAGTCCCAAAACTCTGATTTGCTTTTTTACATAATTATGCCCCTTTTTCGACTTAGAAATTCTTGGTTAAGTTTTTGCGTGTAAGCTGGTATCTCCATAATTACTGAAGGGAATGGATTGAAACTTCACACACTTGTTCTCTGTGATTATCTAAGATAATTGCCACAAGTCCCATAACTCTGATTTGCTTTTTTACATAATTATGCCCCTTTTTCGACTTAGAAATTCTTGGTTAAGTTTTTGCATGTAAGCTGGTATCTCCATAACTACTGAAGGGAATGGATTGAAACTTCACACACTTGGTCTCTGTGATTATCTAAGATGATTGGTACAAGTCCCATAACTCTGATTTGCTTTTTTTGCATAATTATGCCCCTTTTTCGACTCATGAATTCTTGGTAAAGTTTTTGCATGTAAGCTTGTCTCTCCATAACTACTGAAGGGAATGTATTGAAACTTGAAGAGTTTGTACCTTTTCGGACAATTTTATGTATTCATATAGGTAAGCATTATTATACTCAATGAAACACCCTTGTGACAAATTTTCGAATAGTCGAGCGTTACTGTCCTCCGACAGTTCTTGTTTTATGTAGATGTAATGGTTTAAGAGAATGTTAGATGCATATTTTGAAGAAAATTGTGCAGAATGTGAAATTATTTGTAAAAAAAAATAGCAGAATGTTAACAAACTTGTATTTTGACTTCCATACAAAATACTTAATCACTATAACTGTATTTATTGCCAAAAAGCAACAGAAGAAAAAGATGACTGATATTATTGACCAATGAGTAACATTTTGGAAAATATAATCGGACATCAAAAATAAAAAGCTTTTGAAAAATTAAAATTAAAGCAATTTTGGTGCATATTGGGCCTTTAAACAAAACGAGACAATTTTAAGCTTCTTAACTAAGCTTTAGCATCTGTATTGTAAATGCATGGTTATAAAGTATTGCTTTAGTTATTGTGAAGAACTTGTGATGTTAAAATGAAATTATGACATTTTACGTGTGGTCTTTGCCATTTTACTCGCACATTATCTTAAAGTGACATTATGCACATTTTGTCACTGTTGAGTTGAATTAGTAACATATTTCAAAGGCTAACTATCGTTATGGTGATTGACCAATGATTGGTAATGAAAAATGTTTTTAATATAATATAAAACCTACCTATATTATGAAAAGACTGCCCCACTCTTACCAATACATTCTGAATGATATTTTTATGAATTTATTTTGGTCACAAAAATTATTGATTATTTTTTCATAAAGTATGGAATTGATCACAATAATGGCAAAATGTCAAGTTTTTTTTCTTTTGTTTTACCTTTTCACTTTCAATTTGGATGGGCATAATGTCAATTCAACTCATCTGAGGTTTTATGACAAAGCTGATGAAATTTTAAATAGGTGTTTGAAATGAAAGGAATTACGACAGTGATTAACTTAAGCCTCCCCAGTTTGTTTATTGATAACTTTTAGTCAAAATAGGCAATATATGTTTGTATTGTTTGTAAATAATGTTTTATATATGAAATATGTACTTTATATGCATGTCTACCAGTGTAAATAAAACATGCCTTTAATGTGTATTTAATTATTTAATGCTTATATTGATTGTATATTTTTCATCTTTTGAGATAATCATTAAAGACATCTAGTGGTTATATGTGTAATTTAATTGGGGGGGGGGGGGGGGGGGTTGACAGTCTGTCTGCTAATGACCTTTCTTCAGTATGGTTGGGGTTTAGACAGTTTTGTCTGCTAATGACCTTTTTACAGTATGGTGGGGGATTTGACAGTCTGTTTCTTCTTGTTGTTATAATTTACCTTCGTAATTCTATAATCCTGAAAAGGACAAACTTATGTCGAAGTGGGCCTTTAACAAATATGAAACAAAATGGCATACCATAAAATGTAGAATAATTTAAATTTTAATGATCTGAAGAAAGTCTTTATTTTTGATAGTACATTGATGTTGAACTGTCCACATTGTAGCCTAAGTTATCTTTTCATAAATTAGAAAATATTTCACATATTTATTATGAAATTCATATTTTTTTCTCATTTCTAGGGAAGTCTGTTTTGTGTTTCATGTTATATTTGATATTGTTAGCCTCCATTTTGGCAAAAACCATAGAAGTGTTATAGTATAGAAAAATGTGTTCATTCTACACACAGCTTTGTTACATTTATTATACATACTTTAGTGTGCTGTTTTTTTTCTTTCTTTTTTTGTTTTAATTTTTTTATTGATATTACTTTTTTGATAGCTTTATAGGGTACATTTTTACATATTTTTGTTATCCATTGTTTACTCTGTCATTATAATGTATGAAAAATTAATTATGAGATCTATCCATAACAGAATGCAGGAGAAAAAATACCAGAACATATTCTAGGCTAATTTTTGTTGTAACAAATTCACTTATTAATTTTAAACAATCAAGCACCCCTTAGAATTGTTTTTGTAGTTAGTGATTAAAATAATTATCTGAAATATATTTCAATTTTAATGATCTAAGGGCTATTTTAATGTAAATTATTATCTGTTCCAAGAACAGGGTAAATAGCATATAAACTAGAAATAATAAAAAAAAACACTTATATTTGACTTAGTTTTAAGATTGAAATGAAATTAATTTAAATTTTATTGTGTTTTGGGTATTTAATATATAAGCTGAACAAGAGCACATTTTTGACATTTCATTTATACTTTTATGGTAATGGACGCTGAATAACTATTATTGTTTTGTTTTTAGCTCACCTGTCACAAAGTGACAGGGTGAGCTTTTGTGATCGCTTTTCGTCCGGCGTCCGTCCGTCCGTCGTCCGTCCGTCCGTCCGTAAACTTTTACTTTAAATGACATCTCCTCATAAACCACTGAGCCAATTTCATCCAAACTTCACAGGAATGTTCCTTTGGTGGTCACCTTTAAAAATTGTTCAAAGAATTTAATTCCATGCAAAACTCTGGTTGCCATGGCAACCGAAAGAAAAAACTTTAAATATCTTCTTTTAAAAAACCATAAGAGCTAGAGCTTAGATATTTGGCATGAAACATCTTCTAGTGAGTGTCTACCAAGTTTGTTAAAATAAAAGCCCTGGGGTCAAAATTGGCCCCGACCCCGGGGGGTCATTGATTTTCCCTATATGCATATAGTAAAAACTTATAAAATCTTCTTTTAAAGAACCCAAAGAGCTAGAGCTAAGATATTTAGCATGAAACATGTTCTAATGGGTGTCTACCAAGTTTGTTAAAAAAAAAAGCCCTGGGGTGAAAATTGGCCCCGCCCCGGGGGTCATTGATTTTCCCTATATGCATATAGTAAAAACTTAAAAAATCTTCTTTTAAAGAACTCAAAGAGCTAGAGCTTAAATATTTGGCATGAAACATCTTCTAGTGAGTGTCTACCAAGTTTGTTCAAATAAAAGCCCTGGGGTCAAAATTGGCCCCGCCCCGGGGGGTCATTGATTTTCCCTATATGCATATAGTAAAAACTTAAAAAATCTTCTTTTAAAGAACCCAAAGAGCTAGAGCTAAGATATTTAGCATGAAACATGTTCTAATGGGTGTCTACCAAGTTTGTTCAAATAAAAGCCCTAGGGTGAAAATTGGCCCCGCCCCGGGGGTCATTGATTTTCCCTATATGCATATAGTAAAAACTTAAAAATCTTCTTTAAAGAACTCAAAGAGCTAGAGCTTAGATATTTGGCATGAAACATCTTTCTAGTGTGTGTCTACCAAGTTTGTTCAAATAAAAAGCCCTGGGGTCAAAATTGGCCCCGCCCCTGAGGGGTCATTGATTTTCCCTATATGCATATAGTAAAAACTTAAAAATCTTCTTTTAAAGAACCCAAAGAGCTAGAGCTAAGATATTTAGCATGAAACATGTTCTAATGGGTGTCTACCAAGTTTGTTCAAATAAAAGCCCTGGGTGAAAATTGGCCCCGCCCCGGGGGGTCATTGATTTTCCCTATATGCATATAGTAAAAAACTTAAAAAATCTTCTTTTTAAAAAACTCAAAGAGCTATGGCCAAGATATTGAGCATCAAACATGTTCTAATAGGTGTCTACCAAGTTTGTTCAAATACAAGCCCAGGGGTCAAAATTGGCCCAGCCCCGGGGTCATTGATTTTCTTTATATGTGTTTAGCAAAAACTTTAAATCTTCTTTGAAAAAACCCAAATAGCTAGAGTTGAAATAAAATAAAAAGCCCTGGGTCAAAACTTGCCCGGCCCCAGGGGTGTCATTGTTTTTAACTATATGTGTATAGTAAAAACTTTAAAAAAATCTTCTTTTAAAAAGCCCAATGAGCTAGAGCTTAAATGTTTAGCATGAAACATCTTCTTATGGGTGTCTACCAAGTTTGTGCAAATAAAAGCCCTTGGGTTAAATTGGCTCTGCAACGTTGGGGGGGGGGGGTTGGGGGGCCTATATACAGGTGAGCGACCTCAGGGCCATCATGGCCCTCTTGTTTTTCTCTACCATTCAAAAAGAAAGATATGTCACTGTAACATTTTTTTTTATTCATTTCTTGCTGTCTTGAAATAATAAATTTTATACAGTTTGCACAGTTTGAAAAGGTTATGGGTTATTTAAATTTAAAATATTTCTTTATGAAATTCCATCTTGTATTGTTTGTTTTAGCAATGGTTACTGCTTCGCTTGTTAAATTGTTTTCAGGACCGTTTCTGGATATATTTACTGCTGTTTTGTATTTGTATTACAGTGTAACCTCTGCAAAGCGATCCTCTATAGACCAAACACTTCAGCCTTCAGCTTTTCTAAATGTCTAAGATTTTATTTTTGTGTCGCCTCTACGGAGTTGTGGCGACATATAGGGATCACTTCTCCGTCGTCTGTCTGTCCGTCACAAAACTTGTCCTGACTACTCCTCATAAACTACTGGTGCAATTTCATCCAAACTTTACAGGAATGATCAGTACCAAGTCTAGTTGTGCATATTGTCAGCATTTTCCGGTTCAATGATTTTTGTCAGAGTTATGGCCCTTTAATAATTTTTATTTTTAAAGTTTGTCCGGACTACTTCTCTTATACCACTAATGCAATTTCAATCAAACTTTACAGGATTGATCTGTAGCTCAAGTCCTTGCGCATATTGCACGGGTTTTCCGGTTGAATGATTTTTGGCCGAGTTATGGCCCTTTGATAAAAAGGTGTTTTTTTCTGTGTGTTGCCAGATACACAAAAGCTTGTCCGGACTACTCCTCAAAAACTACTGGTGAAATTTCATCCAAACTTTACAGGAATGATCAGTACCAAGTCTAGTTGTGCACTGTCTGTCTGTCTGTCTGTCACAAAACTTGTCCCAACATAAAATTGGCTATCATGAGGCGACACATGTGATTACTGATCGCTCTTGTTAGATAAACCGTTTCATATAATTATCAAATCAAAAGAATTAAGGTGTAAAATGAAATTTGCTGACGATTGTATTCCCCTCCATACCACCGAGCTCTATATTTAAATTTATTTAGTAAAGCAGATCTTCTGTTTTTAGAAATAACGTCACTGACGCGTTATAAATGGCTCATTGGACGCTGTTTTGAAGAAGGCTTTCTGGTCCTTCGGGATCATTGATGCCAGCACTATTAAGTGTTGAGAATTGAGTACCGCTCAAGCCGGTGCTAGGGGGCGTGAGGGATGTTGCACTCATTCATTATCCCTCATGTACAGACTCAATCAAACCGAGTCTGCAACAATTCTTATGAAATTTTGTTGTGATTAATGCTTCCGAGGGATCACTTTGTTTCCAGATTTTTACATTGATATGATGCACTTTTCCATGATTAAATTATGAAAATTAATACGTACCTTGAAACAACACAGACTTTCTTTTTTTTCCAACAGAAAATAAAAACTGAAGGCCACTTTAAGGCTTTCCAACAATTTTAAGGTCTCTCTGTCTCTCTGTCAACAGCAATTAAACACTCTGTCTCATAAAAGTTGTTAGCTTTGTAGAGGTTATACTGTAGTATGTAAAATGGGGGCAAGAATTTTATACATTTATATATGCGTACATTTGATTATTTGATATAATTTATATATATAATGCTTATGCTGATTGTATTTATATACATGTATAACCAAAACATCAGGCCAAATCAATTCATTCTTGTGTTTCTGAAATTAACTGTACACTGAAGAAATAGATCAAAGGCTCTCTGAGATAGACGAGCGTTTTAAGCAAAAAAAAAAAGATGATAAAATCCAACAAGTCCTATGTTTTTTAACAAGAATTTTATTCGATTGACAATAGATAAATATGAAATTATATGATATATTGGTAAAGTAAATATTGACATTGGAATTAGCGATCGGAACTTCTCGGCTATATTCTTAACCGAAGTTTGGCGGAAAGAGCCCAGACGATGCGATTGTGGGGCAAATTTTGTAATAGCTGATTAGCAAACATAAAAACTGGTGTATTTATTATTATGACGTTAAGAACGTGAGAATGAAATGACTTGGCCTTGCTGAAACGAATATTTGAAACATGAATAAAACTTATAAATTACATTTCTGTCTTTCGTTGTTAAGCGGTGTTAAAATAAAGGTTAGCCCTTGTACATTGTCGACTGCATAGAACAGAGATACTTGAGGTCTTTTATAACAGTTTTGCTCTATTTAGAAATTATAACGTTAGAATATGTCAAGACCTCTTAACTCTTGGCCTGCCGAGGGCAACAATGAAACTGCTCATTATTTGTTTTTAGCTCGACTATTCGATAAGAATAAGTAGAGCTATTGCAGTCAACCGAGCGTCGGCGTCGGCGTAACCACTTATGTTAAAGTTTTTGTAATAGTTCAAATATTTTCAAAGTCCATAGACATATGGCTTTGAAACTTTGCACACTTGTTCACCATCATGACCCCAACCCGTAGACAGGAGGAGGTAACTCTATCAAGCATTTTGACAGAATTATGCCCCTTTTTCGACTTAGAATTTACGTTAAAGTTTTTGTAATAGTTCAAATATTTTCAAAGTCCATTGACATATGGCTTTGAAACTTTGCACACTTGTTCACCATCATGACCCCAACCTGTAAACAGGAGGAGGTTACTCTATCAAGCATTTTGACAGAATTATGCCCCTTTTCGACTTAGAATTTACGTTAAAGTTTTTGTAATAGTTCAAATATTTTCAAAGTCCATTGACATATGGCTTTGAAACTTTGCACACTTGTTCACCATCATGACCCCAACCTGGAAACAGGTGGAGGTAACTCTATCAAGCATTTTGACAGAATTATTGCCCCTTTTTCGACTTAGAATTTACGTTAAAGTTTTTGTAATAGTTCAAATATTTTCAAAGTCCATTGACATATGGCTTTGAAACATTGCACACTTGTTCACCATCATGACCCCAACCAGTAAACAGGAGGAGGTAACTCTATCAAGCATTTTGACAGAATTATGCCCCTTTTTCGACTTAGAATTTACGTTAAAGTTTTTGTAATAGTTCAAATATTTTCAAAGTCCATTGACATATGGCTTTGAAACTTTGCACACTTGTTCACCATCATGACCCCAACCTGTAAACAGGAGGAGGTAACTCTATCAAGCATTTTTTTTACTATCAGGCACTAAGAATAGTCGAGCGTTGCTGTCCTACCGACAGCTCTTGTTGCATTAAATAAATGCTTGTTTTATAAAATTATTAAACAAAACAAAAACATTCTATTTCCAGTTAAATTCCTAATATTCAGCCATTGTCATCGAAATGTAATCCATGATAACACCAAATTTTAGTGTGTTAATTGCTTAAATTACGATTACATGTAATCGAAATGATAACACCAAAGTTTAAGGTGTTAATCGTTAAATTACGATTACATGTAATCGAAATGATAACACCAAAATTTAGTGTGCTAATTGCCTAAATTACGATTACATGTAATCGAAAATGATTTGGATTACAGATTACTTGAGAGAAAAAAATTATTTGATTACAATCGATTACTGATTACGATTAAAACAACCCTGATGCGCTCAGTGTCGACTAAGACCAACTTGAACTTGTTTAGAAGAATGGTTGGCCTTGTGGTAAAGATGTCGGGCTCTCTATAAGAGATCATGTGTAAAAGCCTCACTGAGGTCAGGGGTCACGATTCCTCATTATGACACAAGTAGTTGTTGGTTCCAGAAATCAGACAAGAGTGTCGTTTAATTAATACATGTAATATTGAACATATATCATATCTTATGAGAAAAAAACATGTATATCTTAACAATTTAAATGACAAAACTTGTAAACGTATGCTTATTTTACATACGATATCATGTCCATGTTTAAAGAGTGTAGATATGACATTCAAAGCTTTGTAAATGTACGTTTTTTCAATAATAATGAAACAAACTATTATGAAAATGACACTTGATACAAGTATGCGAACAATCACTTTTAAGCTTTTGGAACCTGAAGTACCATCTGTTCAGTTTATGCAAATTCATATTCTAAAAATAGACACAGTTGGTTTGTCGTGATTTCTTTGAAGAACAACAGCGCGGTCCTTCATACTGTATGAAATACCAGAGGGATAATTCAGCTTGTCCCTTCTCGAAAGTAAAACACCTTTTAGTTTCCCAGCTGGTGTTATTTTTACTACATTGTGACAGGTTTCACTACTTCCAATGACGTAAATATTGTCTTCGGAGTCCACTGTTAAAGTCCGTGGTCCAATAAGAATGTCGCTTTTGTATATGAAAATAACATTCGTCGTCTTGGCATCTACACAAATAACAGAATGATTTCCTTGGTCTGAGACAACCACCTGGTCCCCGTCGCGAATAGAGGCGAGGTACCAGGGTGCTTTAAATAGTTCTGCGTGCAATTCTGATTCCCATACTTTCCTCTTTATTTTGCATTCGTAACTGAGAAAACCTAGAGTTCCTCTGAACCCATCCCTCATGACTGAAAGAGCGATTCCAGATTTCCAGCACGTTATTCCTCTGCAATCTTCATCTATTCGCCAACTTTTGTATTTAGTCATACGACCATTTCCCGCCATAATGCAAAACACAGTCTGAGCTTCCGGTTCCGTGACATAAAACTCGTTCCGCTTCCGGTTTGAAGCGCAAATGTCAAACGGGTAAGTTGTAAACTTCATGACAGACAAACATTTGAAATTAGTATCTAGCAACTTTATATGTTTATTTGCCCTGTCTAGAAGTAGCATCTCGCCTGTGTACAATACAATAGAAGCTCGAAGTAAGAATGGACGCGTGTCGTCTGCATGGCTGACCGGATATTCTCCAACCAAGCGATTAATAGGTGGTGCTTGTTTTACAAACTTTGCTCCAACTTCTTCACTAAACTCAGCCATATGGGGATGGTTTGTAAACTACCTCGTCAAAGAACCTGTTGTGCTGTGCTGTCAAATAGTGAAATTTGATATACGTGTATAAGTTTTCTCCGCAAATAGACACTGAACATAATTCATAGTTTACAACGAGTTTGGTATGTCTCTATACATTGTTGAATTAAAACTGTATGGAACTCTTCATTTCATATATAAGATTCTTAACTTTGATAAAATGTTGGTAAAACTGGCGGAAGCGGTGGCCACCGTTTAGTTTACCGGACCTCTATATAATACATGTATCTATTTGATGATAATTTGCCTTCGAGAGAGAAAAAATTATCCCTACGCACTACACCCATTTCTTTTAAAAGCTTGTAAACAATGCTTTAGTGTCAATCGATCTCTGAATGATAAATCACACCACAATATGTTAAATTTATAAATAAAACATTCTGTAAAATTTCTCATTTTTATACAATGTTTATTTTACATGTAAGCTTGTGAAGTACATACGTCAAAATGGTTCATGGAATCTGGCATATTTTAGACCCCGGATTTGCCTTTTAAGTTTCAGCTAACATGATAACATGTTATCATAAAAAAATAAAATGAATATTCATCAACATTTCAACAGTATCATTTATAAGATATGGGCTATGTTGATGTTATCTTGACGAGAGAAGAAAAAAAACCTATAAAGTACTTCAATATTAAAAGTACGATACAAAGATAAATTATCAATGTTTTTAACAGTAAAAAATAGTAAATATAATTAATTACCTGATTTTGGATATCGATCTTCTATATCTCAAATCATTTTACAACCAGTCATTGTTCGCGCTTAAAAAGCGTTTAAATATGACAAACAAAAGACCATAATGAAATCTATACCGCCTGGTATACTGTACTGAATACTGGCACGCGGAGTCAATATTGAAAATCCTTCAAACTATATTTTAAATTAAAGGAACTCCACTCAGGTGAAAAAAAATCTAAAAAACATAAAATTTGAATTTCTCACATACATCTGTGTGGGCACTAAACGCAGAAAGTTATGCAAAAAAATATGATTAAGTAAATTGAAAATCGTATTTTTGTGCTATGTTTGTATTTTACAATGTTTTAGAGAAATTGAAATGATGAAAAGCTTTGCAACGCTTTTCAATTTTGGGTCATTTTTCACAGTTACTCTAATCACTATGAAAAACATAACGGAGTGATATGGTGGCTGATTTGTGCTATTCGTGTTTTCGCCCGCTACCCCGCAAGGCGAAAAGTAATAAATAAACAAGTTAAAATGGTGTGGTGCGGAGCTAAAAGAAAGGCGCGGGCAAATTCTAATAAATACAATTTCGCCTCGCGAGGGCGGGAGCGAGATTTAAAAGATAAAACGACGAGGCTACTGGACGAAAACACGCTAATTAGCTGGGGCGCAGAGCGAAGTTTGATAAATAAAACTTCCCCCGCGCCCCTGCTAATTAGCATGTTTTCGACCCTTTTATAATTAACGAGTTAAAATGGTGGGGGCGGGAGCGAAAACACGCTAATTATCGGGAGCGCTAATTAGCGCGTTTTGTGGCGCATATCGTCCACATTTTTCTAAAGTACATTTTGCGGCAAAAAAGGCATGGTCCTGCCGCATAACGTCCATATTTTAAAGTTTATATAATTTTCGTTAATTTTGACCAGTTATTACCAGGTGTTTTTGTGTGTTAATTTCAGCTCACCTAAGTATGCGACTGTCTGTCTGTCTGTCCGTCCAAATTTAGCTTGTTACCACTCTAGCATCCACATACCCTAAGCAATATGTCAAGAGTTATCTGTCCTTGAATTACAATATGACAATTTTCAACAGAATATCTATGACCATAAAATCTCAACAAAGTTAGAATATAGGCTAAATCTAACATAAAACAACAACAAAAAACGCACTATATATCACCTTGTTAGTGCTTTCGTTTCTTCTCCATTCTTAAAGTATTTTATACAGAATATGTATAACAATAAGGTCTCGATCAAGTTCATTTATGAGCTAAGACGACTGAATATCTCAAGAGTAATTTGCCTTTGAATAATAAAAATAAAGACATATTTTAAAGTCAAATTATTGAATTGTGATAAAACTGCCATTTCTTTCTTATCAATGATCAGATTTCATTCATACATTTATGACAGGACGGACATCTTGAATAGTTCAACTATAATATTGACCTTGAAATGAGCTTGACCTCAAGGTCACCATTGAATTTTGCTTAAATTACCATATCTTTGTCATTTACAGATATTTGGATATTGATGACCATTTCAGACGTAGAATTGAGTACTGATATCAGTAGATTCTGAGTACATGAAATGTACTTGCTTTTTATTTGTAATATTCAATGCTATCTACCCTTGTCATGTGGAGCCTTTATAGGCAGGTGGGCGATATAAGGCCACCATGACCTTTTGCTTTGTTCAGTTATAAAATTACATTGTTCAATTATAAAATTACATTATGACATTCAAACAAAACGCTTACATTACGATATTTTAAAATATGCTTTATTTTTTATCAATAGAACACATTGAACTTCTTTTTCATCATTTCCTATGCGGAAGAATGTTTGTTATAATATACTCTTTTACATATTATCTATGTAACTTATAGGCGAAATGTTTTGTTCTTTAGGCGATAAAATAATACGGTTTTAGTAAAGGGACGGACTTTCCGACTAACCTATAGATTAAACCATTTTTCAAAGTTATATTTTATGACAATTTCAAACTTGCATTTACTAGATTTGTAGTTCAAAATATTTGAGCTGCGTCAAGCAGAAATAAGCACTATCGTCATTTTTTTCCACATATTGATGATGTTTCAAAAATTACAATCTCATCTTTGAGAAAAATATTTTAAAAGTTTACAGGGTTAGTTACTGACCCGATACGGGGATACACGGTTCTGTAGGAAACCATAACGGGACTCAACCCACAGAACCGTATATAACGGTATCTAACCCTTAAACGATTCTACCACGCCGAAAACCTTCCTCATCGTAATTTATCATAACCAGGGAGACCATACCACGTGACAAAAAAAGATAAACGGCTTTGATGGAAAAGATTTTCATGTATTAGAAAGAAAGAAATATAGAGCGGCAAAGCGGACGCAGTTTAGTAATTATATTTTACTTGTTATATCTGTTGCCAAACCATAACTGTCTTCTTAGTATGGCTTAAGGATAAAGCGACCGAGTCGTGGAAACCCCATAACTTCATTCAAGTGTCTGTCCAAAAATGTTGAAGCTGTTGCAACAATTTCGTCTGGTGATAATACGTCGCACTAGAAGCACTGTCTTACATTAAGTCGTAATCTACATTTATTCAATTTCAATGCAATACCTCTAGTAGAATTATATAATTCAAGATGAATAAATGTCCTTGAAGTATTCGTGAATATATTTTACTACAGAAATTGTGGACGATATGCGGCGCAAATACACACTCTCGCCGCAAAACGTACCAAGTACGATATGCACCGCAAAAGGTCCACATGTGTACGATATGCGACGCAAAACGTCCACACGCGAACGTTTTGCGGTACGGACGTTTTGCGGTGTTACATAGCGCAATAGAAAATGAGTATCTCAAATTTTGAAATAACCACAATATAATTTTTTAGCTATTGAAGCTTTGATATCATTTTTGGTCCAACTTGACCAGTATATTTTGTCCAAGACGTAATTAAAAAACAAACAAGCAAACAATAACACGTGAATCGAATTAAAAGCATATTTATTTTTTGTAACTATAAAGCATTGTAAATTGTAATAATAATAAAATTCCATAAAAACTCTTGTGTAAACTGTTTGCTGAATAAACCTTCTAAAAGTGATAATTAAAATCACAAAACAAATAGAAATAATGTGGATAGTTCTTTTGTAGAATGCCAAAGAGTGTAAGTAATATAATTAAAAATGTTTTAAATGCAAAACTTATTTACTTATTTACATCTTGTTAAAAAATAAAGAAAGCACATAAAAAACTGTTCTCAACAGTTTGCAGTACCACGGTAGATAACCGAAACCACTGTTCCATATTCCGCAAATCTGTCTTGCGATTACAAGCACATACTACTTCCGGTCAATGTACCTTTGCACGGTGTCTATATAAATTGTAACTTGTTCAGTACTTGATAAAATAGATTTGACATCACACGTATTTTAAAAGTATATAATATAATCTAAAATTGATATAATAAACTAATGAGTATGTTGACACTGGTTTGATGAGTATGAGATATGGTCAGATATGTACATAATGACGTAAGTGTCAATGGAATGTAAGACCCGTTTTATTTTTAGATATTAGAGTTAACTGCCCCTGGATTGTCTAAACCATATTTCCGCTCCATGTGGTAGGCGTTTTCTAATGGTTTTCTATCTGACCCGTCATTGGGTCCCCAATCGGAAGTGGGCGTGGTAATCTCGCGCAAGCGCTCTAAAAGACTTCCTTTAGCTTTAAACAGTTTATAGAGGAATGTGACTGGTATAGGGAGAAGCACGATAATAGTAAGAACCCAGCCAATGGCCTGAGCAAACTGTGGGAATGGCTCGCCCTTTCTTATTTCTGGTGGGTTGTAATCTGCCATTCTGTAGAGGAATAATGCCTGAAAAAAAAACAAAGAAATAAGATCTATAAGTATGTATCAAATCATATCGCGAAAAGATAAAAAGAAAATAGTGTGTTGAAACTTTGTATATTCTTTACAATTTCTCTCCGATTGGACAAAACAAAACAAATATATTTATGCTTATTCTTCAGTTAAAACGTGTCATTAACAAATAAGTTTATCTTGGGTTTATATTCTATAACTATTACTTAAAAATGTACATTCTGAGAAGCGACGTGTATTTATTTATACGTTAACGTTGTCGGCCGCAGTTCCCATTTTATGTTTACGTATGCATACTACGTAATCCAATATTTTAGTTTGATTAAGAATTTTTCTGAATTACTGCAAAACACTTACGCCAATGAGAATAGGCGAACAGAAGGTCCAGCAGACGGCCCAGAAGATCATCGGTCGAGGTGGATGTCCCAACATATACGTACAGTCATTCAAAAACCGCCTTACTCCTGGAATAATTCACAAACATTATTTATTAACAAAAGTAAATTTTTGTCTTAGAAATATATAGTTTTTTTTCTTGTATTTTAATACTTATAGATCGGATAACACTATGTATAGTTTATTTCACATTAATTTATTGAATTATTTATTTACTGGTATTTATTCAACTTCAACATATCCTTTATTTTAATATTTTGTTTTAATAATAGGTCTTTCGTATGTTTTCAGGTACTTTTATTGATGATATGCTTCATTTAGAAGGTATTAATTGTTGAATAACATTTCTTTAAATAAATGATAGAATTTCCACTTGGAATATATCAGAACGTGTATGAAAATATTAGCCGAGATTAGTGTTCAAAATTCTCGCCGATTACGCATTGGAAAGACCTGGAAAATTGACATTGCTATAATATGCAGGGAGAAATTTATTAAAGAGAGAGCATTATAAACAAAACCCAAGAAAAAGGGTCTACATACCGTATACCCACATAACGGAAATACATTCACATGTAGCTACAAACAGGACGGAGAAATCTGCACCGTAATGGTCCATTAATGATACAATATAATCACCAGCCTGCAAAATAAGACAGAAAAAAATAAACATTTAAGTTACCCGAAAATAAAAGTAATACAACGGGCCTGTGGGAAATGCCCAATCACTTTGCTGGAATCATTCTGCTTTAATTGTTCTCACAAGAATATCATCTAATTCAATTGTACATTTTCATATTGCATATTTGGACGGACCTCTTTATGGTAATTTATATTGGTGGTAAGTGCTGCTCTGCAATGTGTAAATTATTTTCTTTGTTCACTTCACAATATTTAACTTTTTTTAATAATTGTTCAAAATTTTTTATGAAAATTTGCAGGAATCTGGAGGCGTGCTGCTTTAAGCCGTCTTTAGAAAAATTGCATAATAAGGACAATGAATATCAATAAAAAGGTTTATATAACATACCGGTGTGACACAGGGTAGGGCACAGAAATAGAGGACCACACCAAATCCTACACACATATAACTCTTGTATTTTCTCAGATGTGGATATTCATCCTGTATACATGTCATAACTGTCTCTAACAAAGCAAACTGAAAATGTAATATAAATATAATATTAGTTTATAGTTCATACGAACTATATTTTTAAGTTCGATTATGTAAGAAGCTTTAAGCTTATAGATACTCTTTCTAATTTTTTCTTGAAACTAAGCAGTACCGAGATATTAGTGTATAATGTTTCTTGTTCCAGGAAACAACGGCTAGCGGCTTGCCCATAACTGGGTTGAAGTGAACCAGCTAGCGATCCAGTCCGACGCCATAACCTATCGTCAGTTTGACAGGTTCGAGCCTTTCTGGGAGTGATTTCTATGTTTTCATATATGACGCTAATAATGTGTTTATTCTAAAAAAAACGGAACAGGAAGTGGTACAAATATACTTAAAGTTCTATTAAGTCATAATTAAGCTAAACTTGGTATTCATATAAATGTGTGGCATGGCTTTTAAAATTCATGATTTACACTATAAAGTAGAGAGAAACGGTCTCCCATAAGAACGCCCCAAAACTGCAAAATTGAATATTTTGCAGGCTCGGTTTGATTGAGCCAGTTTATTGACAGTATTGGTAAATGCAAGCGACCTTTCACAACCTCTGTCACTGGTTTAAGCAAAGAAGGTGCTTGAAATATTCATAGAATATGTAGGCTATAAATCGAATGTAGGCAATAATTACTAAGTTGTCAGACCAAAACTTGTGAATTACGAAAAAGAGAGATAATTCTTAACGGTTTATAGATCAAATGATCAAATGGAGGTGTTGACATAAGGTTTTTGTGTTTATTCTCAAAATAGCATACGCAAAGGTTGGCTGAAGGTGTGAACCCCAAGAATTTGTTATTGGTATCTAAATGAAGATTGGTACATGCACCCATCAATAAAAGATATGTACATACACTTTGTCATAAACATGTAAAACAAACAACTATTTTGGATACCAACCTCGCTGTCCAATCCCAGAGTAAACAACATGAAGAAGAAGAGGACAGACCACAGTTGGGCTGGAGGAAGATTTGACAATGCCTCGGGATAGGCAACGAACGCCAGACCATAGCCACCCTTAGCCACATCCTGTACATCGACACCAATCTCTTTAGCCATGCCTCCAAATGTGGTGAAGATGACGAATCCCGCGATGATGCTCGTAACAACGTCCATGATACTAATTAATAAAGCGTCACTGAAATATTTGATAAAAAAAATCATGATGAATCGTTGACAAACAACGATCCCGGATGTTACCACGGTTGCTAAGGAGGCACGAGGTGAAACATTCGAATGAGATGACATATTTTGTTGACTATGATATATGTAGAAGTTGTATTCTAATTTGATTAATATTGTGATACGAAATTAGTCATTTCTTTGTCTGCAATAGAGATATAACTAGTCAATTTCATCTGTCAGGAAGTTAACCAATCTATGGATTACAATTATACAAAGAAAATGTATTACCAAAAGATAAGTTGTAAGTATGCGATTTTGTTTTATCCGTATACTAGTCACACGTCATTTTTCAAATTGTGAGCGGATTATAAATGTATGAAAAATCGTGCCTGGTTGATACGAAACAAAATGAAAGTTCTTCACCACGATTATTGTTTAACCCTTTGCATACGTTTCTTCCCAAAATGTCGTCTTCTTAACTAAAAAGAGTACTTACCCGTAAACATTGTTGCTAAACTTATTGTAACTGCCAAACATGAGAATACCACCGAAAGACACACTGAGAGAGAAAAACATCTGACCTGCAGCGGCCACCCATACCTGAAATATATAAAATTGAATATATATCTTATAATGTTCGTGAATAACCCACTCATGACGTATTTCCTTATCTCTGTCGGTATTCTTTTATAAAATCTTTAATGATTTTTCTCCGTAGTATTAAAACATGTTATAGTATATAAATATGTATCCGAAAGATACATTTTCTGAACGAAAGTTTATGCTATGATCACACATATACTATTATTATATTAGAAAGTTCTCTCATGAAAAGAGATGTTTAGTGTAACGAAGGAAACAACAATAACAACAATGCATCATATGATTGAAACTCCATACCTCAAGCTTCAACAGTTGATTCCAGTCCGGTATAATGAAATATTTGATACCGTCAATGGCTCCGTCTAATAGACATCCTCTCACTAATAATATCAGCAATATTACATAGGGAAATGTTGCTGTGAAATAGACAACCTGAAATAAACAACAGTGAAATAAACAATGTGAATTTTTAACAACAGTAAAATAAACAACAACAAAAGGAATGTTCATGTGTAAATAACAAACAACATAAATTATGTTATGAAACATATCTATGTGTCTTATATGACAATATAGCTTTAAATAGTTCTAGGGATGAAAACGATTGCTGAAGTCAATATTCGAATACGAGTATTCGGTTTGCCATATTCGAATATATTCGAATATTCGATTTTTATTAATTTCGAATTAATGTCACTGAATACAGGTGTAAGAATGTTCATAAATTTGAATCATGTGTTAGAATATGTGTAAAATAACATAACATAATGCAATCGATAGCAGGACGTATAACTTCAAAGTTCTAAATGTAATCGTTTTCTCTTTTCAACAAAGAGGCGTTGTTAGTTAGGGTTGCAATGAAGGTAGGTAAGGCAATGTTCATATATTCTTTAATGTGTTCTTCTATAAATAAGTACATGTATAAAATATTAAATAGAGATTATTAAATAAGTGTAGATTCAATACTGAATTTATTGAACGATATGTATAAAATTATATTATGCGAGCCTCTGGCTAGCATAATATTATTCTACTCAACGAGTTTAATAAATTCAGTAATGAATATATTCGTTTTACCACATAACCAACATATACGAACTATTTATAGTGAAAATAAACCTATTTTGTTATTGACGCGCCTATAGTATAACGCTATTATTTAGCGCAACTTTTACGCTGTTTGTATAACGCAAATGACGTACGTCACGTCGAAATATATGTACGGCTGTGAAATACCGTTGTTTATGGAGCCGCATAAACGGCACGGTTATGCGATAAGCTATGTTAATACACGATAATATTTTTTTAATATATGACAAGTTAACATACTTTTCCGGATGACTTGACTCCCTTGATCAGGCAGGCTACAACAACCATCCAGGAGAGCAACAGGCACAAAGCCAGCTGCCAGATTGGGGCTCCAACTTGGTCAGGATACATTCCTGGAGCCTTCTGTATCACAGTCTTTCTGTAAATTCATATACTATCATTAAAATCAGTTTATAAAGTAATAGCAAGGGAACATAACATGTATAAAGTATACGCCAGACAGGTTCCATGGCTGTTTAAATCGGAAGAAATTGAATAGTGGATAAACATGAAATTAAATTGACGCCGTTGACGTTGTCAAAGTGCTCCATAACGATGTATATATGTTGTATGTAAATGCTGTAAAAATACAAACGTAAGTCACAACTCAGTATTTTTTGATAAATGTGTTCGCTTGATATGTATATTTTTGTTGACAAAATTTGTACAATGTATGTATTGTTATATAATAAAAAATGAAGAAGTATATGAACTTTCCGGACATCCCTCGTATTTGATAAGTTTAGCACAGACAAACTTCGGATTCAGTATTATAAAGTTACAGTACTTTAATAAAAGGGTCGTTAATCAGAATGGTATTTCAAACGTAAAAATTAATAAAATGATATACTTGTAGGAAGAATTAAAGTAGCATACTTCCAGATTCAAACTTATTTTTATGAAATAAAATGAAAATTTGTTTACAAGTTAGATATTGTGAAGTGATACACACCGTCACCTTGGAGCAAAAAGTAATGTAACTGACATTTTTTGAGAAAATCACTTTTTGTCATTATTTGGTTAGAAATACAAACTTTCACCAGTCTCTGAAGTTTAGAAGCTGAATTTTGATGAAAAATGACTTTTTTGGCATAAAAATAAAAAATGTAAGTGCAGCTTCAGAATTTGTTGGTGCAAAAACTACAGTAAGTACACTTACATGAGTTTTTGCGCCAATGTTTTTACAGATAAGTTGAAAATAATTTGATGCAAAAAGTATTGTAACTGCATTAAAATATTTCACTACTGCATTAATATTAAATAGCAAAATTATTTCTAAAATACAAATTTTATATATAAATCTACTTTAGGAAACTAACATTTAAAGAAAATGTTATTTTGATTTAACGACAAACAATATAGCTAGTAATATTCCAGTATTCAAATTTTGTTGATATTTTTAAATGATTCAAGTAATATAAGAGCTGTCATTGATTCGGTGAAAAACAAATATAAGATGAAAAAATTTTGATGATACACAGATATATTGATAATTACGTACTATTTGTCTCTTAATTCTTTTCCATAATTATGTTTAAATGCTTTCAGTAAAAACATGGTCTTTTCATAAATGTGTCCTGTTTCAAACAAATGCCCATTGCATGATTTTTGCTAACAATTTTTTGTCATCACTGCCATGAAATATGCTTCTGCATAATTATGTTTTGGTTGAATTTTCATAATTTCTAGACATTCAATTATTAAATCAAAATTATCGATTTTCTAAACTGTGTACTGATCAACAAAATTATCAACGATACACATCAATATCATTTCTATTGATGACAGCTCTAAGTAATTTTTTTTTTCAATTGTTTACTCAATTATTTATTATAAAAATAAAGATAAAAGTTGCTTAAAAGATTTACATTCTTATTGCATTATATAAGGACAACTGTATTATAAAAATGTCACTGCAATTTCACTGTTTATAGCCCTGGAAAGAAACAGTTGCTAACATTGGTGTATCTTTTCTATTTTAATTTCTATAAAAACATGGCAGACAAAGGCATGTAATCTGTTTCAATAATATATTGGTCAAAACCATAATTGCTAGTATGTTAAGTCTAATGTGGTGCATCTACAACTCCCATGCATTCATACATATAGAATGGTGTCTATTATCAAAAATTGGAATGACTCAGTTCATTCTCTATGTCGTGCATGTTAAACACTTTAATTAACAGAAAATCACAATTTTCAAAGACCCAAACCACATTATGTCACAGAAAATAATCTGAATTTTTATATAAAATCAAAGCTATTAAACCATGATAGTGATATGGCGTATAATGTTTAAAGTTTGGTGGCAGGAAATAAGACAATTTGAATTCAATATATCAAAATTTTAAAAAGAAGAAGCAATGAAAACACAATTATTTATAAAAATTGAAGTCTGTTCATGGGATATAATATAAAAGGATCTCACTGGGATATGTTGGACAAGAAAAGTTTAGGATTCTTAGCAGGTTCATCCAAAATCTCGATTACGTCCAACCAAAATGTTCAGAAAAGTTCAGGATTCCTAGTGGTTTTATCCAAAATCTCAAAGTCTATGTCCCTGTGATGGTTGAATATTATTGAGACATAGGTATTATGATATATACATCTCCAAATGCCCCCCTTTTTATAACAAATACATAAATAAACTGTACCATTAGAAAATGGCAACAGTAAAAAACATGATTTATAAGTTGTCACGTAATTCACTTCATTGTTGTTATGTTTTTTCTGGTCCTCTGTAAGCACTTTTAAGCGTTGAAAATTGACTAAGCTTAAGTCAGTGCTAGGGGGCGTGAGGGATGTTGCACTTTTCATTATTGCTCAATTGTACAGACTTAATCAAGTGAGTCTGCAGTTTTCATGTAATTTTGTTGTGATTAATGCCAGGGTTTCCACAAGTCACGGAATCCCGAGGGTCATCTCCACCAGTATTGACTAAATAGTGGGAATGACGAGGCAAAATCCCCATGATTTTAACAAAATTTGACCCTTCAGTTAAAAATCCAAAGGGTCAAATCAGACCTTTTGGAAATTTGAAGGGTCAAAATGGTCATTTTAAGGGTCAAATGGACACCCTGAATGCTTACATTTACTTTGAAATTAAAAAAAATACACTGCTTTGGATTTACTGTTACTGTTTAAAATTAATGTTGAAATATTCAGTTTTTCAACTTCCTTTCATATGTTTAATGTATTAAATGTGGTTCATAATCCACAATGACATATTTTAAACAAACCTTACAATTAATTTGTTTGTAATAAACATCTTTCAATGTCTATGCAATGCAGTAACTTCAATACTTAAAATTAAAGTTAGTGCAAAAACTATGGTAAGTGCACTTACATCACTTTTTGCGTTTAAAATCTCAGTGCAAAAAGTCATGTAAGTGTAGAAGAATGTCTAATTACTTTTTATCCATAAATGAATAATTGTAATGTTTAAAACCAATTTAATAATACTTATTAATGATATTTTAACATTATTGTCTGGAATTAAAAGGGTTTACTCAAAATGAACAAATCAGTTTTTTGTGTCTCCTGTAAAATTTCAAAAATGTCAGTTACGGTACTTTTTGCGCCAAGGTGACGACACGTACAATCAACGTAAATTACTAAAATGATTTCAAAATATGCAAAATAGCCCTAACTGCTATGTTGTATGGTGATCAGTACTGCAAAATCAGCCATTAATGGCAAAATAACATGTAAAGTATTACTTAGACCTTGAATCTTTTTAATTTTCTTAAAATCTAAATACATTTTTCTCAAGTTTGATTTTCTAGACATATTTTGGCTCATCTGGAGGCATGCAACATTAATTGTCTAAAGAGGGTATATGTATATAACTATATCTGAAATTATTACATGTAATTAAGGCCGTAGTTAAAGAAATCTTGCAGTTGCACATGTAATTAATTAAATATAATTGTACAAAACATAGATGCATGCATATATATGATTGTTACTGTGTTAATGTTAGTTAAATCTGAATTAACTGTAACTGATATTGAACTGAATGGATATTTGATATACATGTATTGCTTTATACAAAGATTATTTCTTTGTAAGTTTCTATCACTTATTTAAGATGGAAATAGTTAACGATGCTGTCTGAAATACGGCATTATTAAACAGCTGTTCATATATATAACATGTCAAAGGGTAACTACTCCTACTTACTCAAAATATAACTCCGCCACTGCCACGTTCGTTGTATTCGTACACGAGACATTACTTTGCTCGAGCATATAATTTACAGTATAGTTTGTTGTACACAAGCATTTTGAAAGTATGTCAACAGTGGCATTTCCAGTGCATTCCGCTAGCTTCTTCTGTGTTTGTTGCGTACACCCTAGCACCGCCCATTCCTGGAAAATTAAAAATTAATTAAGTAATTAAAAGTATGATATATGATAAAAGAGATATGATAATTTTTAAAAAAAAACTGGAATCAAGATAAAAAGGTAAAGATTTTTTAAAAAGAATGTTTTAATCATGGACCTGTATTTCGGGCTTGGATCATTATTCTACAGTATTGAATAACTATCTAATTTAATGATTGAGGATAACAAATTATCAAAAGCTTATTTATTTTCGGTTTCAAAGTCATATAAAATTGTTTGAACATCAAAATTGCATGTGACGGCGTGGTAGAGTTGTTAACGCGACGGACTAGTAGTAATCTAAGGACTACTGGCCGTGTTGGTTCAAACCCCGTACGTGGCAAATATTTAAATATATTGCTTATTACTAGTTTGTTTTAGGAATCGAACAAAAATAAATCATCTGTTGATTTATTGTCTCAATTTATTTATGTTTTATGGAATATTAAATCAATCTTCATAAACATGTATTTTGTTTCTATCAACTGGTTTAACCACGTGTTCAGCCACTGCAATATATAACAATGTTTGTTTTCTTAAAAACAAAGCAATATGCATACGGTCCCTATGATAAATTGACACGTGGCAACAATTGAACGCTTTCTTGTCTTAAAATGTGATGTCTGGCTGGTTAAAGGCAAACTAAGTCTCAAAAATGAATATTTTTCTTTCTGTAAGAAGTGCATTTCTGTATAAAGTGCAACCGCGAGTTAGTAAACTTCTTACAGACCAACAAAGACAGTGTTTTTATTTATCATTAGCTCAATATATTTTTAGCTTTAATATGTACTTACATCTTTACACGTTGTCCATGGCAACACTTTTTGCATGGATGAGAAGAAATAATACAATGTATACGCCATTATGACATTGTAGTAAATAGCTACAACCAGTGAAATCAATGCCATAGATATACCAATTCCTGGAAAATAGAAACAGATCATATCAACATCTTTGCATGCCATCCTCCTCCTCCTCCCCCCTCCTCCTCATCATCATTACTATTATCTTGATTTCTATATTTATCATGATCATTTATGTTCTTCATAATATTCATCGTCATTGACATAATCATCATCATCATCATAATATTCATCGGTATAATCTTCATCCTTATCATCATCATCATCAACAACAACAACAACAACATCATCATCATCGTCGTCGTCGTCATCATCATCATCATCATCATCATCATTTGTGAATGCTCTTTTATCATATTATTTCATACCTTTTTCACAAATCCACTAAATTTTTATTAACTTTTAAATGATTAAAAAAAATCGAAATCCAGCAAAAATAAGTTGTACAAATCTGTTAGCCTAAAATAGGACCCTTTCATTAATTTGATCTTATAACGTATAGTGTTTGTTTAATAATTCATTAGTTATTTCAAAATGCATGCTAATTTTAGGAGACTGCTGAGGACTACCAATTTTGTTACCCTTGTTTCTTTACATTAAAAAATAACACAGAGTTGGACATAACATGGGGTCAGATAAGTGTGTGTTTACCTTTGGCGCTCGGGTTCATAGCCCAAACTGCGGTTGGTCCACTCCCGGAATACTGTCCCATTACCAGCTCCATCATGTACATAGGTTTACCGATTAGGATCTGCAGGATTAGGTACGCGATCAGGAAAGCAGCTGTAAAAAATAAAATGAGCCGTGTCATGACAAAACCAACATAATGGGTTTGCGACCAGCATGGATCCAGACCAGCCTGCGCATCCGCGCAGTCTGATCAGGATCCATGCTGTTCGCTATCAGTTTCTCTACTTGTAATAGGGTTGGTAACTTGAAAGCAAAAGATTTGTGTCCATGTCATATTACATATAAGAAACTAAATAATATATGGGAGGTTAATACTCTGATCATAAATATGAATATGTAGATATAAAAATGTTGTGAATGCCCAACGTTGTATGTATATATCAACATAGGGCAAATAATTTTGTAATGAATCATATAAAAAACACGGAAGCATTGTTTTTGTTTAATCATATTAATTTCAATGAAGTTGTTACTACTTAATATATGCATTGACCTTTTAGATTTATATTCATTGTTTTACAATAGGTTTAGAAACAATATTTGTGTCCTGTTCAATTACTTTAAAGAAATAACACTCCACCTACCCCCGCCATACTGGTACGCCAAGTAAGGAAATCTCCATACGTTTCCTAGCCCCACTGAAAGCCCCACACAGGAAAGAATAAATTCCCATTTGCTCCCCCATTGTCCACGCTCCTCCGCAACCGCATCGCGCTTATCCAAATCATCCGCGCTACTGTTGACCGAAACCACACCCCCATTTGTTTCATCTTTCTGTAAAAATATGACGACAGCAATGATAAAAGCACATTATGCCTCAGAAATATATAATTGTTTAATTCTTAGGAAAGGGCCAATATGAATTTTATAATGTATAAATAATGCATTCAAAGAATGTTAAATGCTTGTTACCTGAAGAAAGTAGCGATAAATGTGAAATAATGTCATAAAAGTAGAAAAATGTAAACAAAGAAGTATTTTGACTTCCATACAAAATACTTAATCACTTTAACTGTACCTGTTGCCAAAAGGCAACAGATGGATTAAATGGTTACGGTAAGTGGCCGATGAATTACCTTTTAGATACTATAAAAGTACACCAAAATTAAAAGCTTTTGAAAAAAAAACATTTCTGAGGCATAATGAGCCCTTAAACATCTAAATCATCTAAAATTCTTCTGAACCTTTAACAAGTAAAGGTTAGATTTGCGAATATTGTGGTAAATGTAAATGCTTAAAGGGAAAGTAGCTTCTGCTCTTTTGTTATGGTCGAAGTATTCTCAATATACAATATAACACTATTAATTCTTCCCTTGCACTTGGCTGTAAGAACTATACAAATTAACACATTCTTTTAAAGGAACGTTATGCTTCAGAAACATATTTTTTTACTTCTTTAGAAAGGGCAGAAAAAGAGTATTATTTAATTTTTTTAATTAAAAGGGTTTTAAAGCATGTAAAATGTTGTTTTTTGAAGGGAAAATTTCAAAATTTTTTTTTGAAATTATTCGTCAAAAAAAAAGGGAAAATGTTAAAAAAGGTAAAATTTTGACTTTCCCTAAAAAAAACTTTATCACCCATAAATTTTTATTAATTGCCAAAAAGGGAAAAAAAAAGAAAAAATTTGGGAAGATAATTTGGGAACTTTTTGGAAAGAATAAAAATTAAAACCAAATATAAAAGGTTTCGAGAAATAAAATAAAAAGCAATAAAGGGCAAAATGGAATTTGGGGTTACAAGAGAATTTTTTGCCCTTAAAATTTGGGCCCACGAAATTGAGCCTTAAAATTTTGTTTGGGACAATTTTGTCGCCTTTAAAGTATTTTACTTAAAAGGTAAAAGGGATAACAAAAAAATTGTTGATGATGATGATATGATGATGATGATGGGGTGGGTGATTTGATGATGATTTTATACCAAATGTTGGGGAAGAGGGAGAAAAAATAAAATATAGCGGGGTAATTGGGGTTTTATATAAAAAGCTATATAGTATAATTTTTATTAAATTTCCCGGGAAACCTTTTTAAAATTTTTTTCATCCCTTTCTTGAGAAAAAAAAAGTTTTTTTCTTCAGAAATGCCCCTTTCTAAAGAAAAAGTAGAATACAAACCCTATTTTTCAAGTTAAACCCAAACGATGTTTTAAAGACAAATTTAATTTATTTTCCTTTGAATTAAAGCAATTTTTAACTTTTTAAAATTGAATGGGGTTAAATTTTAAGCCATGTATTCCCCGCCCTTTTGGGGAAATAAGTCCCCTTTTTTGTTTTTTTAACTTTTTAAAACAAAAAGTTTTGTACAACAACTATGTAGAGACGATCCATTTTTTATTTATTATGTAACACAGGACAGCACGGAGTTCCACGTGCAGCCGCATAAAAGGCATAGTAATTGTTCTCATCAATACAAGTCATTGTCCGACAAATGCAACAATTCATTCTTAATCCTCCACGCAACAATCGATTTTTAACTTGTATGCAGCAATTCATTCTTTATACTCCACGTAACAATCGATTTTTAACTTGTATGCAACAATTTATTCTTTATACTCCACGTAACAATCGATTTTTAACTTGTATGCAACAATTCATTCTTTATACTCCACGTAACAATCGATTTTTAACTTGTATGCAACAATTCATTCTTTATACTCCACGCAACAATCGATTTTTAACTTGTATGCAACAATTAATTCTTTATACTCCACGTAACAATCGATTTTTAACTTGTATGCAGCAATTCATTCTTTATACTCCATGCAACAATCGATTTTTATCGTTATGTCTCGACCAATTTTGATTTATTTATCAACAATCTATTGCAATAATCAATTTTACGTGTCGATCGATTTTAAATTCATTATACAACAATCGATTTTAGACTCCCTTTCTTGCTTACTAATAAAAGGAACGGTGTGCCTCAGAAATTGATAAAGTTTTCATTGTTTAGAAAAGGCCCATATGAGTTTATAACGTTTAAATAATTGTTTTAGATTTTGTTAGCTGATCACCTGAAGAAAATATAGTGCTGCATGTGAAATTATTTGTAAAAGTAACCAAGTCACTATAATTGTACTTTACCCTGTCCCCAGAAAAAAATTTTTTTTAGAAATATTTGGTTTTTAATTTTTAAAATTTTTAATTTTTTTAAAATAAGAAAAAAAGGCCCAAAATAAACTTTTTGAAAAAAAGTTTTAAAAACAATTTTTGGGGCCCCCCCAAAAAAAACCCTGCCGCTAATTTAAACCCGAAAAAAATTTTTTTCAAAAAATCATTTAAAAAAAAATTTTTTTGAAATTAAAAAGAAAAAAAGGCAAAGGAACCATTGATTTAGGTAAAAGAATAAACCAAGAAATTTTCCTGCCCAAAAAAAAGCTGTGGGTCCTTTTAAAATTGGGTTTTTTTTTTTGTTTAAATTTTTCTTTGTTTTTCCCCTTTTTTTTTTTTTTTTTTTTTGTTTTTTAAAAGGGGCGGGGAAAAGGGGGGAAAGTGGCAACGTATTATAAGTCTTACATGGGTTACATATGACGTTTATTTTTTCTTATTTTGAAAATGCGAAATAAGATATCATTTGATAAATAATACTTTACACCAATATTCTCTCATACGATCTTTCATTTAATTTCTTTAACATCTTTTCTCTTAATGTGAAAATGCAATTATATTGAACCACTCTTTCCCTTTGAACGATGGATGATACCTTTTAAGTTGAGTATTATCATACCATTCGCTTTAAATTTAAAATCGCAGCGCTTGATTAAAATTCATTTGTATACAAAGAATGTTCAAGTGCGACATAATCATAAAGGAATCTTTTATTCTCCCCTTTTATTAGGCTTTGAAATATTAATACACAGAGTGAATAAATAAAATATACCTACATGTTCATGCAAATTATTGTTTTATAGCGTAGGAGCATGTAAAACGAGTTTGATCAAACAAAATAATATTCACTTTATTCTAATGATGTTATATTTTGGGTTTAAAAAATAATTTTAAAAATTTTCAAAACCAAATTATAATGTTTAGAAGAAAATTTTTTGAAATTTTAAAAAAAATGGGGCTTGGGTTTTTTTGCCAATTAAAAATTTTTAATCCTTGAAAAAAAACCCTTTAAAATTTTTTCCTTTACAAAACAGTTTAAATTTTACATACATTTATTTTTATCCCCTTTTTTAAGCTATAAAATTGGTTTAAAACTTAAAGAACCCAAAATTGGGGTTAAAAAAAAATTAAAAAAAAAATAAAATTTACATTAATTTTTAAAGGGTATTATTAATTTTTACATTTTTGATTATTTAGAATTAAATTGTTAATTTTTTTTAAATGTTTGCTGATTTTTAAAAATAGAAAGGGCAGAAAGAAAAAACTGTTAAATTTGTTTAAAAATTTGATGAACATAAAAAAAGTAAAATTTAAAAACGAAAAAGAATCCTCTTTTTGGGGTATCTTCCCCAAATAAGATTTTTTTTAAAAAATCAAAATTTTAATTTGGCAGTTAGATCTGCCAAATTTAGAAAAGTTTTGGGGTCCTTATTCCTTTAAAAATTTCCCTTGTACTTTTAAACCTTTTTAATTTCTTTTAACACCAAATACTTAAAACGCAAAGAAATTTTATTTGATTTCCCCTTTCTTTTTCGTATTTTATTTTAAAAATTTTGGGTTAATCATTTTGTCCCCATTTTTTATTTCGCAAAAGGGCATGCCCGTTACAAATCGCGGAATGCTCATAAATAAACCATGCGCGTGGTTGAACATTTTTTTACAAAACTGCCACGGATGAATGTTTATACGAGCGTTTTACAGCATTACTTAGACAATGAGTAAGATATTGAAGGATGTGTCTGTTATATATTTAATCGTATGCACAACCATGTCTTTCCTTTTAACTTCAGTCATTCACATCATATAATACAGACCGACAAGACAAAAGAATTCTTGTACAAAGCGGTTTGATGACATTATCATAAATTTACGTGGTGGATATCAAACCGTTACAGATTTTATTCAGTCAAATATCTGAGGTATATACTACAAAGGGCTTTTTTCTTCGTGAATAAAAAGGAAATCGAGAAAGTATTAACACAATTATTTCAGTTGAAACAAGCAATATTCATTTTCCCATGTGGCTTAATATGAGTTCTAATTCCAGAAAGTAGTCGTTTTGGATTATGCAAAATCTATTCGGATGGGACAAATCTTAAGATTGAACAAAAGAAAAATATATTATTATTAGAACAAAAAAACCCAACGAATATCATGTTAATAAAAAACTCATCACCATCTTTGATACATCAAATCTTTAATGATGACATCGGGTTTGTTGACACTGACAAATTTAAATTAGCCATTTTTTAGTTTAACTGGTAGAGAAAGATTTCGTGTGTCCCTTAATATTTCAGGAAATGGTGGACACTTATGTAGAACCACCGACCTTCCTCTCATAAAGTAAAGACTTTGATGAAATTCTAACCAATGGATATCTGGAACAAATTGTTTGAATTAGCGGCAAAATTTGATACAGTTTATTTTTCAGGTTCAGAAACTTCAGAGTTATCACCAAGTTACTTTTTACTTTCAAAGTGGCTTTAAGAACATTTTTCCTTAAATATGACATCAAATCAAAATACATAGTACCTTCAATTTAAGCATGCAACCAATGATATTCCTTCCTCTTATACATAAAGACCACCTTATGATAAAAGTTTAAGTATGCAGCATAAAGGTACCCCATGAAACATAAAAAGGTCCCAAAAATATCGGGAACACTACCAACACAACCAAGATATCATCATCATCATCGTCATCGTCATCATCATCGTCATCATCATTAACAACAGCACAAGCGAAAAGTATACTTGTATAGGGAGGTTTTTGTCAAAGACAGACTGCTTGAGGAATTGGCAATCATTAACAGGCAGCTTTTCTTTTGCATGTGTACAGTTCCTCTATTTATATATAACACTTCCTTTACAGTTTACAGGGGAACTTCTAACATGACAGTTCTATTTGCTATTGTGTCACGTGACTTAATCACAAATGAATGTATTGACTATCATCTAATTAAAGCATTTGACGAGGACATCCCTTTGAAATTATCGAGATTAAACGAGATTAAATGAGAATTATCGACAAGTTCTCTTTCAGCTGGCTCTTGAATTTTATCATTTTTTTTCTGATCAGATCAGGTATACTGCATTGACTGACAATACAAATTCAAGAGTGTATTAAGTAGGACTATTTGAAATTACATTTTTTTAAATTGCATGAATGCTTAAGGACTTCCGCATGTGATATTTGTGTATTATGTTATTACTATTCCCGCAATACCCCAATTGAAATTATTGTCAAATGTTTACAAAGCACTTACTTTTCCTATCAAATATCTTCATCAGTGCATTGATTTTTTATCAGATTAAATATTATTTCATGATAAAATCAAATATTTGTTTAATTGTCAACATGAAAGGTTACCGCGTTTAGTAAAAAAATACCTGTTGAATATCTAAATTGTCATTTTTAATTGCATGACGTTATGCCTCTACATTAAAACATCCGACTCGTATGTATATACTTATATATATAAAGATACAGTTATGACAGTGCATTAATTGTTTCAAAAATGAAGAGAAATGACAGGTAATTTATGTGTATGAGGCATAAAGATAACTTAGCCTTGTACTGAAAAAATGAAGACAGTTTTTACCTATATGAATATATTAAGTACATGTATCATCTCGATACAGACTTGACGAGCTTTTGTGATAGTATATATTTTTCAAGATTGATATATATGAGAAATACTAGCTTATTCTAACATGAATCATACAGTTCAGCTAAGAATACATTTAAATTCAATGCTCTGTGAGTTTGCATAAAGAAATACACAAAAATGGAAAACTGTCTTGAAACCAAATTACATGTATAAAAGTATGGCATAATATGCAACACCCTATGCACATTTTGCAGTATATGTAATTTAAAGAGCAATATATCAAAAGAAAAGGTAAAATTAATGTTAATATAATGCTAATGTAATGCGTCATTTACGAATGCGTTTGACAATACTTCAATTCTTTAAAGATTACTAAAATGTTATTTAAGCTAAGTTAAACATGAATTTTCCTTTCAGTAAACATCAACGTTTAAATGTGGCTGTATCGTGTGTATAACAGTCCAATTATAAAACAAAAATGAATCCCCGGGGGCACACATAAAAGTCACTTTTATGTTACATACACGTTTTCATTGCTATACAACATTCTTTCAAAACCTTACAGACAACCCCGTCCACACACAAATACAAAAAAATAAACATATTTTCTTTTTACAAAAATATCTTTATGTCATAAGGTATGATACACGATACGCGCGTCTTAACAATCATGCACTTCTTAGGTTTCTTTTCAAATTTTACAAACCGCTTTTGTTGGGATATTTAAATGATATACGAGCGTCCAAATTTGTTATGAAACATTAAACTTGCACACTAGTCGAATAAATGTATTGTGCAATTAAACATTGAATACATGAAAAATCTTATACAAATAGGAAAAAAATATGATAAATAAATAAATTAAATAAAAAATAATAAATAAATAAATAAATAAAAACATAAATAAATAAACAAATAAATAAAAAATAAATAACAACAACAATTACAATAATAATAATAATAATAATAATAATAATAATAATAATAATAATAATAACAATAACAATAACAATAACAATAACAATATAATAGATAAATAAATAAATGAAATAAAAATAAATAAATAACAACAACAACAACAATAATAATAATAATAATAATAATAATAATAATAATAATAATAATGATGATAATAATAATAATAATAATAATAAAAACAATAACAATAATAAAATTAAAAAAATTAAAAAAAAAAAGAACAACAACAATGATGATAAAATCAGAGCAGCGGTTCAGAAGTGTGTATCAGTTTATACAGTTATATATGAATAAGTAACTTTAACAACATCTCATGTCTTACCTTTTCAGTAGGTTTGTCTTTATCCCAAAAATTATAAGACGCCGGCATTTTATGTTTTATTATTTCTTTTTCCTTATATTTGCACTTATTTTTCTAATATATAGTGCCACTGATTTAATACATTCGGTACAAGTGAAAATCAACGAATTATCCGATATTGATTTCTTCTTTTTTAAAGTTTTGTTCATGCACGCTTAAACGTCTACAAATTGTTTCGTACTGGAGCTCCCCATTTTGGCTATTATTTATTTATGCAAATTATTTCGTATGGGGGATTCCCTTCAGTGACCAATGCGATTGACGATACCTGTTGAATGACGTCATACAGGTAAAAATACAGGATGTTGCGCATTTGTTTTGTTTCATTCTGTACGTTTAAAGTTAAAATATATTAATGGACATGGTTTAATACACTCCTTACTACATACAGCTAGTAAAAACCAGTCCTTAAGTGATGTTCTTAAGTTAAATCCCACGTTGTTTGTAGTTTTTTTTAATAAATCGATTGCTTTATGTACAATGACTAAATTTGGTATTTTATCTTTCCCTTCATCTCATGTTGTAACTACTCTTACATGACCATTTCTTAAGAGAGACAGACCGATTTATTACCAAATGTATTACACGTACCAGTAATCCTTTTAATTATTTTACTGATTCATAAACATTTCACGATTTGTAAAATGTCATTTTGACAACATTCAATAGCAGAACAGAACAGAACAGAATAGCATAAAATCACTACACTGTAAATCTAAATACCAAACTTATTGTTGTGTAACAATTTTGTTACAATATTTTTGTATGAATCCTGACTCTTCTGTAGTTTTGCAGATATTTTTGTAAGTTGTTTTTACCAAATTATTCATGAATTTCAGAGCTTGGTATTGTTTATGTGGAATAAAAGTTATCATCATTTCTCTGAGAACATACTTTTTTCTTATACCATAACTTTTGATAGCCTTAATTACGCTTTGAACACAATTTCTTTGACTTTTGTGGAACGATAATTTCTGTGTAACCATGACTTTTATGTAACCATAACTTTTGTGTAACGATGGTTTCTATGTAACCATGAATTTTGTTTTACGATAATTTTTGTGTAACCATGACTTCAGTGTAAGGATGATTTTCATGTAACAATGACTTTTGTGTAACGATAATTTCTACGCAACCATGACTTCAGCATAGCAATAATTTCTTTGTAACCATGACATTTGTGTCCCGATAATTTCCTTGTAACCACGCCTTTTGTTTTACGATAATTTCTGTGTAACCATGACATTTGTGTCCCGATAATTTCCTTGTAACCACGCCTTTTGTTTTACGATAATTTCTGAGTAACAATGACTTTTGTGTAACGATAATTTCTTTATAACCATGTCTTTTGTGTAACAATAATGTATTACCTTGACTTCAATGTAACGATAGTTTCTATTGCAACATGACTTCTTTTTTACGGTAATTTCTATTTTACCATGACTTCTGCGTAACGATAATTTCTGTGATACTTTGACTTCTGTATACCGATTATTTTTGTGTAACCATGATTTCTGTGTAAAGATGATTTCTGTGTAAACATGATTTTTATGTAACGATAATTTTGTAACCACGGCTTTTCTGTCGCGATAATTCTTTGTAACAAATGAATTTATTTTACTGTAATGATAATGTCTTTGCCATGATTTCAGTGTAATGATAATTTACCTGTTACCATGTCTTTTGTGTAACCTTTATGTCTGCGTTACCATGACTTCAGTGTAAAGATAATTTTTGTGTAACCATGAACTTCTGTATAACAACAGTTTTTGTGTAACGATAAACCGTTATTGTTATAGCATAGTGATTTCTTTGCTACTATAATTTTTGTGCAACAAAAGCTCTATGTAACCATTATTTCAGTTCAACCTTTATTTCTTTATAGTCGTAACTTCCCGTAAATTTTGTGTAACAATTTTTTAGTATATTCATAAATTTTGTGCAACCGTAATTCTGTGTAACTAAACGTTCTGTGTGAGTATAATTTCTGTGTCATGAATGTAACAATACAATACTGTCTATGTATTGTTACATACAACAACGTTCGACATATGTCACAAATATCTTGTGTAACTTAATTCCTGTGTCCCGAGGAAGTGGTGATGTTGTTGGATTTAAGTCAAATTAAAAAAGAAAACAACAACAACAATAAAAAAAAACAGAACAAGAATAAACTGAAAATAGGGATAGCATTATATGTCTGCGTAACTTCAATATCGTTTTTATATTTTTATTTATAACAATATGCATGAAAATGACCTTTGACATTTGCTCATACCATGTTGTACTCGGTTAGCTATGCATGTAAATGTGAGTAACATGTGATGATTTTAGGCCACATTTAAACTGTTAATAATAGTACGGACAATAATATATTGTCGTTATGACATAGTATAAAGCTAGGTAAAAGATTAACTATTTTCTTAATTGTGTCCGGGTTCGTGTCGTGTACTGAAAGGTGTTCAACCTATAAAACACTGCACCAGGAACTAATTTTATACACTATATATATCGTTATCTTTCAAGTGACAGTTTGTCCATTCAAGGGTATAAAGTGTGTGGACAGGTGAAAGTCAAAATAAGTTTTTATATTGCTATGATTCCGTTTAATTTAATAATTTACTTCACATAAACAATAAATAACCCCCGAATTGAAACGGAATTACTGTAAATATTAATTAGAACTTACCTGAAACGTTTAGTTTATAAAAAGAGTGCGGCAGCATTTTTATATTTTAGGCAGATTTTAAATTTAATCCTTTAAATTTTCTAAAATAAACTGTTGGTCAAACAACATTTAAACAGTCAATCTTTTGGCATAAAAGTCAATTCAACTTAACTTGACTATGAAAATATGAGCATGATGTCACTTTAATATGAAGTGTAAATATTGAAAGAACCAGAAACTATGCATCGCTGTAAGCTTTTTTTGCAAAAACTTTAATTGGAAATTATTAAAAAAGTTATAGTTAGAAATGGTTTAAAAGGAGCGACTATACTTTTCGTAGGAATGGATAATGTTTATCACAATAGAAGCGACATTTAATATAATGAACGCATTGAAGGCAGTTTATGCGAAATAGACTAAATTCAGATATTTCCAAATAATGCAAAAAAAAACAAAAAAAAAAAACAAAAAAAAAAAACAACTAAATAACATTGGGCTTGTTTTCATACTATTATGGTTAAATCGAGTGACTATGTTGATCGAATATACAATCGCACTTAAACTGTACCATTTAATGATAAATATAGTGTAGCCATTTAATAAAAAAAATATTTGACTAGCTTTATAATTATTATAGACAAAGTTGTGAAGGCTAAAGCTATCGACCAGCCGGTATCGTTAGTAAGGTGAAGGACTTCAAGACAAATTCATCGACAGATTTTCACACGCAATAAATATATCTACAGTATACAGCTGTCGTTGTATCATGATTTTAGTTGCATTTATTCTATTTTGAAATAGTCTTCAATTGTATAACAATATCAATAGAGTCGCTAACACTCGAAGCATAGAATGTTTGATTTCACCAACATTGTACTCGTACATGTAGTATCTTATTATGTTTACAAATATTTTAATTCTGTGAAACAATTGAGTTTTGTTTACGTAGAAAGTACGAACATATTATTGCACGTACATACCGTATATATTTATAATTTAAAGCTAATATAAATCAGTAGCGTTCAGAAAATAACAAAAGGGCTCGACTATTTATAATATTTACATAAACCTTAAAGGGAGACACTTGCAAAATTTTCATTTCTTAGTTTTGAATATTTAATTCATTATTCTGTGAATGCCCTCAAAATGAATATATTAGACAGTCAAAGGAACAAAACTTTTCTCCATATAAAAAATAAAATGGTGGTTTTCTAACTTGACCCGCGTGGGTCAGGTTAAAGCGCTAGCAGTTCACAAAAGTTACCACAGTGAACTCTGGAAACGTTTAAAAACATGTCAAATCAATGACTAAGACTTTTTCAATCATACAATATTCACACAGTCTGTTATTGTAACTTCAAGGGTTTGTTCAAGTCACCTGACTTATTGTCAAACTATTCGGTGATACTATTGACGTCTAAATTTTGTTCAAAATATATAGATATATTTACGCTTTAAACCCAACATATATAGAATTTAAACAGAAATTCATGCTGAAACATTAATAAATGTCATTCTAATGTGATTTGAGTGCATTAGATCATTTTAATATTTTTGTCATTATTTTGCCTGAATATCCCTTTAATGATAGGGCATTTATCATTGAATTAACCTCGTTAAAACTTCGTATCCACAAAAACAATTATATCATGTATACTGCGCCTTATTTACAAATACCTTTATCTTTTAATTCCCCAAATATCCTTAGGGACTATCCTCATATATATCAAAAGGGTAAAATGATTTATATTTTGGCCTTCCTGTTACGTTCTTATTTACCTACTGTAATTAAAGCGTGATATTTGTCCATCTTTGAGAAAGAACACCGAAAACAAATTAGTCATTTGAAATTCGTTACATTTAAGTAATTATAGGTGATTTTGTTTCCTATTTTGAAATAATTCGTATTTGTGTATAACAATTTTTAATGGCGTCGCTGACATTTGAGGCATAACTTGAAACTCTTTTATTTCATCAATATTTACTAATGCATCTTTTTGTTAAAATACAAATTCAATATTTTTGTTATAAGAAACACTGTCTTGTGTTATGTTAAGAAACTTTGTGCAAAATATTCTTAATTTAAATCATTATTTTTTCATAGTACAAGAAAGATTAAACTTCAGTTCTGTTATGTTGTAAGTGAAATTAAACGAGTTATGTTTACGTAGAAAGTATGTATAATATACTTATTGCACATATATACCATTTATTTATTTATCTTAAAGTTAATTTAAATGTGTAGCGTTCAAAAAATAGAAAAAAAGAATGAGAAGAATCATGGGATATGTTAGACAGCAGTCACGTGATTATATTATATTTACATAAACCATAATAATAGGGTATCAATCATAACAAACTTCATCGTCACAAAAACAATGATAGCACCCCTACTGCGTCTTATTTACAAATATAGGCCTTACATATAGGCCTTAACCTTTAAATCCCTAAATATCCGTAAAAACTATCCTCAAACTTAGCAGATAAGGTATAATAATTCATATTTGCTTATTCCCTTTTTGACCTTTATACTTATT